CGCTGAATTTGTTTGAATTTGGCCTTAGTAGTCTCAGTTCCAATGCAAGGCCACCAAACCAAGGAGCCGTACAAGAGAGTTGGACGCACTATCATCGTGTAGATCCAGTTAACTACTTCTGCTTCAAGCCCTCACTTTACACCAACAACGCATCTACAAGCCCACAATGAATTGCGAGCCTTGTTAACCTTAACTTCCTTTTCTTGGAAATAATTATTTCATATAGAAAACAAATAATAATACAAGCATACTATCTAACAGGTGTTGGTTCCAAATGTACCAGATATAGCTAAGTTTAGTGTAGCTAAGTTTTCAGTGTGGGCTCTTAGATTCTGTCTACTTGAGGCCATTCTTACAACACAAATGACGAATTGGTTGGATGCACGTACCTGACGGCCAGTGGTTAGTCCATCTAAGAAAGCTTGTCTTGCTGATTCAATTGTAGAGGCAGGCCTATACTTTAGGTTTTATATTTATTGCATATATCCAGGTTTCATCCAAGTAATAAGTCTTCCTGCCCTGGTCGTGGCATTCCTTTGTTGATTTTAAATAATTTCTTCTCCATAAAATAATCTCTTGGCTGTCCATCAAAATACTATTTCTGCCCTGTTTTCTATACTCAAAATGAAGTTCTTTGAGTAAATGTCGTTCTTTTGAAAGTAAGTAAGTCTTCATCACTGTTAACCTCCTGTAATACTTTGTCTATGGTGATGGTGAATTAATGGACTTTGCGTCTGATGGCATTCCGGTCAAAGTTATCAACTGTATCCAACAGCTTCCTGTAATGCTGCCTCTTGTGTGATGGAGACAATTTTTTTTTTTTTGGTATTCTTTAACAATGTTGAAAATTGTCTTAGGACATAAGCCTGTTTTGTTTGCCACACGTCTTTCAATATCATGAGTTTCCATTTCAGGATGCTCTAAAATTTCGCTCTTATAAACGTTAAGGACAATTTCTTTTGCCTGAATATTCAAATGACCCTTCTTGTCACGTTTTCGGGGAGGAGACATCACTGACGAGGAATCATGGATGAAGGAAGCATTGGGAGAAATATTCTCAGTTTCATCTGCTGTATCCATAGACGACATGCTAACGTATAAACACCCGCTATGTATGCACCGAACATGAATAGTAACTGCTGGCGCCGGCGTGCCGGCGATATCCCGAGCCGGAGTTCTATCCTGACGAATCCTGCACTTGTTCGTAGTTTTATGGCCGGATGACCAACAGCTGTTGCAACGCTTAGGCGGCTGCCGCTTTGCCGCGCTACATCTTTGTTGTACCGGGCCGTATGTACTACGAATAGGATATAGTACTATAATATAACTTTCATTAATTGTTAATATACAAGTGCTTTCGTATGTTATATTGATATTTAGCATATATGTATGTATATGCGAATAAATATGTAATAACATATGGAGGATTTCATTCAAAAAATGTCTAAGCCTTGTAATGGTAACTAGGCCATCTTTGAACTTTTTTGTCGACTCCATACTACCTACAATGTACACAAGCCATCTACTGGTAACCGATTATTGAATAAATCAGTTCCAGCGATGCGATGTACCTATAATTAATACTGCATCCACCTGCGTGATATAGACAACACACAACATAGCATTCACTGCTCGGAATTAACTTCCTCGAGCCTCGGGTCAACTGATTAGTACTGGTAAGCAGTTTCAAAATGAGGTACCACATAAACTCCTCTTTCCACATAAAATTTGTATTTTTTAAGCTAAAATGTAGTATTCAGGCATTCATTTCATAAACGCTAAATCTGAGCTTGCTAACATGGCTCAGTAGAGGGGGCAGGGGGCTTTTTGAACAACGCCGTATAAAAAGCTTAATAAAAAACAAATGGTGAAAGATTATGTAGAAAACAATATGTGGCATCAATTGAATATACAGGGAGTTTCAGTTTATTGTTGCATAACTTTAAGATTCGATAGAACTTTTAAAATTAATGCATAAAGTCTATATGAACATGGGTCGAAAAATGCGTGGCTTCCGAAATTTACTTTTTAAAATAGTTTGTTTTAAATATTTCGAACAATATTTGATGTATAACAGTGAAAAATGGTATACAAGGGTTTTTTGGTACGACAAAACGAACCGTGGGCATAGTTTTACTGTAGCCGCTAGAGGACGCTCTCTACTGTACCTGTAGTGTATTAAAATGATCGAAAATTCTTAGTGCAATTTTTTGCTTTTTGAATAAAAAAACTGATTTTTCGCACTTTTCTGCATAAAAAAGCTCTCCTGTGAGTTTTCGTTATAGTTAGCTGTTTTTGAGATATTTCGATTTTTAAGGTTCGATGCATTTTTAATTATTTATGGGAAAATAATATTTTTTTACATTTTCGATTTGGGCATTACAAGTAATTAAGATGATCGCTTAGATTGTGTTTTTAAACACAGCAATAATTCCACCAGAAACTCTCCTAACACTTGTGGTCGGATCTCTATCAAACTCACGCAGAATCATACGGGTAAATCTGCGCTGACGAACATTTATGTTTTGATCCCTTTGGAGATTTCCAAAACCATTTTCAATTATTTGGCGATGCACCCTTACAAATACTGAGCGAGTTGGATGTCGTCTGTTTGGAAATCTTCGTGCGTATTCTCTGGCTGCTTCTGCTGCGTTTCCATTTACAAAGCCATACACAAAATGAATATCCGCTAACTCTTGATTGGAGAATAAAAATGGCATTTTTATAAAACTTACAAAAAAAACAGGTAAAAGAAACTGAATTTCGTGCATTCACAATTGCAAAAAAACGTTTCAGGTTTCAACAGACAACAAAACTAACTGTCAACTAATTGACGTTTAACCTTATTCTGCTTTCAATTTCAAAAATATTTGCAGGCACAGCCTACTTCTAAAAATTATCGAGATACTGACTTTTTAACGTTATTTTATCATAAATAATTAAAAATGCATCGAACCTTGAAAATCGAAATATCTCAAAAACGGCTAACTATAACGAAAACTCACAGGAGAGCTTTTTTATGCAGAAAAGTGCGAAGAATCAGTTTTTTTATTCAAAAAGCAAAAAATTGCACTAAGAAAAAATTTTCGGTCATTTTAATACACTACAGGTACAGTAGAGAGCGCCCTCTAGCGGCTACAGTAAAACTATGCCCAGAGTTCGTTTTGTCGTACCAAAAAACCCTTGTCTACCAATTTTCACTGTTATACATCAAATATTGTTCGAAATATTTTAAAAAAAACTATTTTAGAAAGTAAATTTAAACACCCTGGATTTCGGAAGCCACGCATTTTTCGACCCATGTTTTTATATAGACTTTATGCATTAATTTTAAAAGTTCTATCGAATCTTAAAGTTATGCAACAGTAAACTGAAACACCCTGTATAGTAGAAGTCATTGCCCAATTTCTCTCGAAGCTTACGCCAGTTCTTTAGCGTATCTTCCAGATAGCCTACTAATGCGACACTTTCCCAGAAAACTGAAAATTTGCTCATGCTCATCCCAAAAGATCTAAGACCGACCCTTACAACTTCAGACCTATAGCGCTGCTTTCTGTTATAAGGTGATGTAGGGTGCATAAATCTGGTACTCCAGTACCTCGAACGTCACGGCTTGATTAGTGACAGGCAGTTTGGTTTCCGGTACCAGTCTTATGCTGAGTCATGTCGTTGCTCTTGATATCTCGAAAGCTTTCGATAAGCTGTGGCATGCTGCCCCTTTATGCAAACTTCCATCCTAGTGCCTCCCAGAGAAGTTTTGCTGATGGGTGGCTGACTTCCTCTCTGGCCACAAATCCGTCGTGATTAACGGGTTCTCCTCTCCATCCCTCAACGTCAACGCGAGTATTCCCCAGGAATCAGTCTTTACTCCGACAATGTTCCAGTTACATATCAACGACCTTCCTTCCTATGCAATCAATCCAATCCACAGGAATTCAGAGTGACAAGCCGATCTCTGCCTGTGAGCTGGAGAAAAGAAGACTACCAGCGACTTCTCCTCTGACGAGACCTGGAGTTTATCACTGCTTGTGGATGCAATAATCTTGTACAGTTTAACGCTTTTAAAACACACTTTACCTTCACTAACAAGACGCCGTAGCGTTCATCCGGTTTCGATGGATGGCCGAGTTCTACCAACGTGCTGCACTATTTCGGCTGGTCGGAGTCCAGATCGCCGAGGACTTGATCTGGCACGAACACATCTCGCTAATAGCGGCAGTTGCTGGGAATAAGCTAGGCTATTTGTTGAGGGCTAAAGTTTTCTCCACATAACCTGTTCAGTCTGTACAAGACCCAGGGAAGACCTAGCCTCGAGTACCTGTACTGCTCGCATGTTAGCGGTTCTGTCGTCCCGGCTACATTATTTATGCTCGATGGCGTTTAGCGGAGGGCTGTAAGACTAATCGATCACTCATCTCTAACGGTCAGTCTCGGGACCCTTTCGCAGCGAGGGGACGTCGGCGATCTAGCTGTCTTTTACCGCTACGCCAAGTAGCTATGCTCCCCTGTCCCTATGGTGTCGAGATTACGGAATAATCTACACGAGGAGGTTTTTCCTAGTTCTACTAGTCTTAGAATGTTTAAAAATTGGATTATCAAAGTTTCTTTAAGCTCCTCATAGCTGCCACGGCGCACTGGTGTTTAGGCTTCTGCCTTCGTGGCTGCTTCGGTGTAAAAAAAATAAAGCGCATTGGACAAAATACTGTTGAGGTATGTGTTGGAAAGTTATACCTACCCATAGGACTTTTTGGTCGAAATCCGTGTTCCGGCTTTGGTAGTAATAAAAATAAATAGTTTTTCTTCGTAAAGCATTCAGATTCACTCTTATGTGACAAAATTAAAGGGTTTTACTGGAAAGCTCAGAATAGATAGTCGTAGTTGAAGATGGGGTGGCATGATCGGCATTGCACGCGAGAGTCCAACAGATAGCAGCGAACCAGTGGGGATCTCACTTACAGACATACATTGCACTGCGTACGATTACCATCAACTGTACTCACATATCTTTCTTGATGTTGAGTTGTTTATCCAGAAAGTCATGGGTCGCAGCGAATTGGTACGAGTAGAACATTGACATGGTGAATAAGCACATCAGTAATAAGAATACCATGTAAATGTACAGTATTCGTCTCCAGGCTTTGAATGACATCTAAAAAACATGAAAATTGAGCACCCGAACAAATCTTATGCAGTGCACTAGTTACGCATATAGAAATCAATGAAATGAGGCGGAATTCACAGGAGCGAAAATTCAAAATTTTATTTGATACGTTACCTGCAAAATGAACAAAAAGAGGATACACTGGAACATCTCCAAAGCTCTCATAATACCAATGTTAACACCAGTTATCGCAACAGCGTATAGAAATAATGTCAGCACAACCAGCCAGTACTTCACAAAAAACGTCTTTAATACCTTTTCTAATAAGCTTCTACTTCTAAGCGATTTCTCTGGAAAAGGACAGTATTATCTATAAATATTTATAATAATGGGTGATTCAAATTGAGTTTCCACATTACAAATAATTTTTTTTTTGAAACGCCACTGAATTTGTCAACGACAACGTGCCATTTCTAACGTCAAAATATAAACAAAACAGTCATGAAGCAATATGCGAAGTGTTAAAATTATCCAAGCCTATAATGAAAACGGCCGATCAAGGAAGAATACATTTCGTGCTTTACGTGAATTTTTTGGCGCACAAAATCGGCCTTGTGAGAGGACAGTTTGGAATTTGGTGCAAAAATTCGAGCAAACTGGATCCCTAGCTAACACCAAAACCCCTAGGCGTCCTCGTAGAGGTCGGTCGGAACACCATATTGCTATTGTTGTCGAAAGTGTGGCCGAAAATCCAAGAACCTCGATTCGTCATCGATCGCAGCAACTGGACCTTACTTATTCCACTATACAGCGGATTTTAACAAAAGATTTGGAGTTATACAGGAATTGAAGCCTACGTCACACATCAGGACAAACGATACAATTACTGCGCGGCAAGTTTCCAGGTCGCGTTATTTGACGTCACGACGATATCAATTGGCCGCCGCGATCCTGTGATTTAACTCCCTTAGATCATTTTCTTTGGGGTATTTCAAGAGCAAAGTCTACAAGAATAACCCGAACACAATTGCGGAGCTGAAAAAGGAGATCAGACGCGAAATTACCAATATAGGACCTGATTTGTGCCACGGAGTAGTCAAAAATTTCTCGAAACGGATTACATCATGCCACATGAGCCGCGGCGGTCATATACTTGATATCATCTTTCAAGCATAATTGTAATGAGCTGCCTGAATGGACAAATACATACTTTTTTATAATCTTCAATTTCTTCTTTTTTTTAAATACTTTTAATGTGGAAACCGAATTTGAATCACCCTATATGAAAGAGATGCGTCTTTGGTCCTAGATGAAACTTGTCCTTTGGCGTGATAAAGGTCTCTACGCTTCCACCTTGGGCTGAGGTGTACGTTATGGATAGGTTTTCCGGGCGCCATGAAGGAGTCTTTATGCCATAGGCCGATAAGGTAAATTGATTATATTAAGCCGGGGCGCAAAAACGCGCATGGGTCACAAGTTTGTTCGTTTGTTTTAGATTTATTAAGCAGGATTGCTAAAACAATTACATCACATAGGTAGGAAGCAAAATGTAATACATTATGATTATAGTATCAATGATCACTTACTCTAAAGAACAGAAACGTTCAAAGATTTGGGTGTTGTATTCGATGTCAAGCTGACATTCAAGGATCACATCACTCAAATGGTGAATTAGCGTTTAAGATGCTAGGCTTTTTTGTAAGGAATTGGTCTGGGTTTTCAAACATATCAACTCTAAAGCTTTTATATTTTACATTTATTAGAAGTAAGCTGGAATACGCTTCATTAATTTGGTCTCTAATCTACAACAATTCAAGGGTTAGTATTGAATATGTGCAGCGTAATGATTTAAAGTATTTGTATTACAAATGTTATGGCAATTATCCTGAAAGAGGTTTCGACCATTCTATTTTATTAAACATTTTTGATATAGAGTCATTGCATTTTACACGCGACATATCAGCGCTACATATTTTGTACAAAATCATACACAATCAAGTTGATTGTTCATTCATATTAAGTAAGCTTAATTTTCGTGTGCCTAGGTTGAGAAATCGTGCTCAAATTACTTTCTATCCGGTTATTGGTAATACTAATTTATTGTCTAGATCTCCGGTAAATATGATTTGTACATGTTTCAATTCTGTTTGCAGTTCCTGTGACTTATTTTTTGATAGTGAGAACTTTGTTGTGAAGTGCTTTTGTCAGTGAGAGTTTGTTTTATCTTTTTTTGTGTTTGGCGTTACCGCTGTAACTTTTTCTTGTATTTTTTCTGTAACTGGGCTGTTACCTGTTGGGAATAAATAAATAAATAAATAAACATACAGATACTTATAAAAACAAAATTTGTATCTCTAGTAATTTTCACTGACCATGAAATATTTTAATTTTCTTTTAAACATCGTTAACTTACGAGTAGACTTTAGTTTATTAAATTCAAGTAATACTTTCTGAAATATTGATTTGCTAGTTACATTACTATTGCAATTTTGTAAATTAAAATCTATATTTCTTCTTGTATAATAATTGCCGTAATGTCTATTCAATTCTATGTAGTGTTCCAAGTGTTGTGGCAAAAGATGATATTTTATTTTAAATATAAAAATAAGAACCAAATATATGAAATTTTTTATATTCAACCACTGCAATTCTTGTAACATAGATTTTATTTTGGTGTAATCATTTTTATTCAATATTATCCTTATAGCTTTATTTTGCAGGACTTGAAGTTTTGAGAATACAGCTTCATTGGCATTGAACAAGATAGTTGAACAATATAGTAAATACGGTAGAATAGTTTTATTATAAACTAGTTTTTTGGAATATGTACTAAGACTATGAGCAGCCCTATAAATTGTAATTGTAATTTGTCCTTTTTATCAATTTTTGAAATACTGTATTCATAATGATACTCAAAGTTTAGTTAGCTATCAATACGAGTATATATACCTAAATATTTAATTGATTGATTTTCAATTATATCACCATCTATCCTGTGAGGGTATTTTCATTTAGGTATTTCCCTATTAACATACATTTGGTTTTAGAAACATTTAATTCTAATTTATTTACATGTAACCAATTTATGATTTTTTCCAAGTCTGTATTCAGCATTTTTGAAGCATTGTCTACATTTTCATCTGATATACCTATATATATAATCTGCAAATATCTGAATTTTACAATAATCTAAAATATTAAAAATGTCGTCAATGTATAAAATAAATAGTAGCATCAGCCTCCCTTACCAGAGGGTTAGAATGGCTGTCTACTCTTGTACATGTCTTAGGCCCGTATCGTCAGTCGTCCCTACAATTGTAGGGCGCGTTTATGGCCTCCTTGATTGTCATACTCCTTTCTCTCCTTCAAAAATTTGTAGATTACACTTGTCCCGTGTCAGCGTCAGCGCTCTCCTATTGTGAAGATATGTTTTCTTTTTAAATTGTAGGAAATTTCAGGCTGATAAAACATGATACAACTCAAAAGCAAGAACAATTTGATGCAAATTGATGTTTGTGACATAACCTCAAAATAGAGCGCTGACACGGAGAAGTAGAAAATTATGACAATCAAGGAGGCCATAAAGGCGCCCTACAATTGTAGGGACGACTGACGATACGGGCCTTAGTAGCAAGTTCTTTGACAAACTCAGTGAGAGGACGAATATTGAGATCTGAATGTAGCGTGTGATTCGAAACATACCATGGAGGTCCCGTGATGGAGCCAAGAGCTCTATGTTGGATTACCTGTAACACATTCATGTGCATCTAGCGACAGAGCACCAAGCCGCACATGCAAACGTCATGATAGACCTAATAATGGATTTATACAGGGTGTTCCATAATTATTGCGACAAAATGATAGGGGTTGTAAAGGGCATAAAAATATGCAATTTTGCCTTATAAACCCCTGTTCGTAAATATGCCGTTTGAGCACTACAGTTAATTTTACCTTAAGAGCTCATAGGAGAAACAAAAAATTCACCAGCTGCAAAATGTTCGTCTAGCACATTTCATAGTCTCGCCGGTTTGTAGAAAAAGCCTGCTGTGTTTACATTTTTGTTATCGTACACCCGTACCACCTTTTAAAAGTCCAAGCCATGGGTCCAGCAGACTATCTGCCGCGTCGACGTTTTTGTCGTTGGTGGCTGCAGCAGGAGTTGAGGCAACCAAACTTTGGTCGCTACGTTTTGTTCACTGACGAGTCCTGTTTTACAAAGGACGGTTATTTTAATAGCCGTAACAGTCACATTTGGGATGAAGAAAACCCTCATGCCATAGCCATCCATAGAGACCAACATCAGTTTTCAATTAACATCTGGTGCGGCATTGTGGACGAGCATATCATCGGGCCATATCTGCTTCCACCACGTTTGGATGGGCATGCTTATGGTCGATCCTTACAGCATGTGCTACCGGAACTATTAGAAAATGTGCCACTGAATATAAGAGCCAACATGTGGTTTCAACACCATGGCGGTCCAGCCCACTTTTCTTTACAAGTGCGGCAGTTTTTGGACGACAAATTTCCAAATAGGTGGATAGGCCGAGGTGGCCCTGTGCCTTGGCCTGCGCGGTCACTTGACCTGACTCCACTGGATTATCTTATCTGGAGCTATCTGAAAGCTTTAGTGTACGAAACTCCTGTTCCCAACCAACAAGAGCTACTGGGAAGAGTGATGGCCGCGTCCGCACATGTTCAGGACATACCGGGGGTATGCCACAGAGTTCGCCGATCATTGAACAATCGTGCACAGGTGTGTATTGAGCAAGGTGGAGGACACTTTGAGCAATTACTGTAGGTAAGCTGTTTCAAGAAACTGATCTTTTTTTTTGCTGCAGCCCAAACGGCATGTTTCCGAACAGGGGTTTATAAGGAAAAATTGTTCATTTTGATGCCCTCTACAACCCCTATCATTTTGTCGCAATAATTATGGAACACCCTGTATAAGAGTAATTTATTTGAGGTTTTCTATTCTCTCTTAGCAAGTGGCAAAGTCGTTGAAGAATCCCCACAGCTTTGTTTCGGGCAGACAGCATGGGGCTTCCAGGTTAATTTCAACCCCCAATACTTTACATCTGATTCCTATGGTATATTTCGATCAAATACTCTCAGCTGTCCAGGCGCAGAATGTCTACGCTTTGTCAGGAAAACAGCTTGGGTTTTTTGTGGATTAACATTTATTTTCCACATACAAAAGTATTCCTTCAGCTGACATACCGCCTCCTGAAGGCGGTCTACAACCTATTGGGCATGTATTGACTTGGCAATCAGAGCGGTGTCATCAGCGTAAAAGAACACCTCTGTGTGGTCAAACGGAGCGTTGTCAGAAGAAAATATTAGATATAGGGACTACTTCTACTACTTCCGTCACCCCGGCGCAGCGCGGTCGCGTAGTTGTCCTACCGTTCAATAGAGTGTGCGACACCTGTCAAAAGTAACGGAACTGGCTTGAGAAACAGGATTTTTCGCACGGTAATCAAGTAAAGGATTATTTACCCGATTTTTGTTAAAGAATAAGCGTTCTGTAATTTTATTTATGTATTCAAAGATTTTATTAAGCAAAATTATGACAGCATCCGAGTGACACTATAATTTTCAATAAAATGCTATATAATTGTGTCAACATATTGTATTGAGTTTGATCCACGTTTCGAGTTTACCTCCCTACTGAGTGGGGCCGGGGCAAATGCTTGTTCCGGAAGTTGTTGTATCCAGTATACAACTTCTTCCCGTTCAAGTGATTGTCCACGCGTTAAGGAATACCTCAGTACCGATTGCCGGGTGGCGGTACAAATTCGCCAACGGGCCACTTTAGGTCTATTTAACATCACTAACACGTAAAAAGAAGGTTGTAGACAAGGACCAGTCGACCGAGGCAGTACCACCCGCTAGCTTTTCCCAGGGTGTCTTATAAATGTCCGCATGTTTCCACACCTAAGCTATGCAGTCGGTTATCCTCCAAAACAAAGAAACTAATGATGATAAATCCATCGAGCACTAAGAACTCCGGACGTAAACTCACTCTACTCTCGGAATGTCCGGGTGGAGGGTGGGCTCGAGGGAACAACATCGAAGATAAAATTTGTTTTTCGAACATCTGCGGGATTAACAGCAACATTGATGCTGTTCATCACTACCTGCAATCCAATCATCCCGCCGTGCTTTTTTTGGCGGAGACAAAAATCTCAGAGTCTGCACCGATTAACCATCTTAACTTCCCAAACTACGAGGTGCACTCCAATCTGAGAAAGAACGGGGGAGTTGTGGCTTTTGTCCGCAGCAGTCTTTCCTGCTCCAGAGATGCTTCTTTCGAATCAGACCGGAAGGACATTATGTGGCTTCGCCTCAACTCCAAAATATCACCCAAGTTTATTTACTGCCTTTATCGCTCTCCCTCGGACCATAACTGGGATGACCTACTCGAATACCTCGCCGTCCAGATCGACTTCCTGAACATCAATCGTCCCGCTTCAGAGGTAGTTCTTCTCGGTGATTTCAATGCTCATAACGAGCTTTGGTTGGGCTCAAACAAGACCGACGCAGCAGGTCGTGCAGTCGAAGCGTTCGCTCTTACCCAAGGGCCGACTCAGCTGGGGACGAGTCCTACTTTTTCCCCCGCGTCTCATCACACGCCAGTAGCCTGCTGGATCTCTTTCTGACCACGCATCCTGTTCCTTATAGCACTGCTGTCCTGTCCCCCCTGGGTAACTCAGACCACGGTGTTGTGGAGGTTAGGTTTCGGTCAGAACCCGAGGTGGCAGCAGAAACTCGTACAGGCCGCAAAACTTGGCATTACGGACATGCCGACTGAGGGGCTCAGAGATTTCTTCTCTAGCTTTCCTTGGAAAGATGTCTGTTTCACTGACATGGATGCGTCGGCTGTCTGTTCTTCGATAACCGAAATTATCCACGTCGGAATGGAGGAATACATCACGCAGTGAAAGTGCCTAGACCAGGGTTTAACGGCTGGTTTAACAAATCGTGTGACGCTGCTCGCCAGCAGAAGATCAAGGCACACAGAACCTTCTTACAAAACCCAACTGTAGAGAACAGACAAGCCGACGTTGAGTCCAGAAACAAATATATAGCAGCGGTTCGCAATGCCAAAAACCAGCATGATATAAAAGTTAGTCGGTCTTTCTGGACGCTGGCCAAGCAGATTGAAAAGAACTTCTCACACAGTAGCTTTCCACCACTTACGTGTCAGGATGGAACTATTGTATTAAACTCAAAGGCCAAGGCGGAAGTGCTAGCCAAGATCTTTGCTGCCAACTCCACCATGGACGTTCCCCCCAACGCCCAAGTGCCTACGCCTACACTATGCGGGAGGTAACATTCAGGCATAAGACCGTAAGACGAGCGCTCTTGTCGCTCGACATCAACAAAGCTTCTGGTCCGGACTTGATTCCTGCCATTGTACTGAAGAGGTGTGCACCGGAGCTTGCTCCAGTTCTTTCGCGTCTCTTCCAGATATCTTATGAATCCGGCACCTTCCCAGAAAACTGGAAATTTGCTCATGTCTAGCCCATCCCAAAAAAAGGTTCTAAGACCGACCCTTACAACTACAGGACTATAGCTCTGCTTTCTTTTATAAGTAAAGTGATGGAGAGGTGCATAAATCGCGAGCTTCTGGACTACCTCGAGCTTCTGGACTACCTCGAACGTCACAGCTTGATTAGCGACAGGCAGTACGGTTTCCGGCACCAACGATCCACAGGGGACCTCCTAGCTTACGTCACGCAATTGTGGAGTAAACTCATCCAGTCTCATGGTGAGGCTCATGTCATTGCTCTTGACATCACGAAAGCGTTCGATCAGCTGTGGCACGCTGCTCTCTTAAGCAAACTTCCATCCTATGGCCTCCCAGAAAAGCTTTTGCAGATGGGTGGCTGACTTTATCTCTGGCCGCAAGACATCCGTCGTAATTGACGGGTTCTCCTCTTCATCCCACGACGTCAACGCGGGTGTTCCACAGGGATCGGTCTTGGCTCCGACACTGTTTCTCTTACATATCAACGATCTCCTTTCCTGCACGATCAACCCAATCCACAGCTTCGCTGATGACAGCACTCTAGATGCAGGAATTCAGAGTGACCAGCCTATCTCTGCCGCTGAGTTGGAAAAAAGAAGACTAGCGATGACTTCCTCTCTGACAAGAGACCTGGAGGCTATCACTGCTTGGGGACGCAACAATCTTGTACAGTTCAATGCTTCCAAAACGCAGTACTGCACTTTGACGAACAAAAAGCGTCCCTGCGCTCACCCGGTTTCGATGGATGGTCGAGTTCTGCCAAAGAGCCATTCATTTCGGCTGGTCGGAGTCCAGATCACCGAGGACCTGATCTGGCACGAACACATCTCATCAATAGCTGCAGCTGCTGGGAAAAAGCTAGGCTATTTGTTTAGGGCTAAGAAGTACTTTTCTCCGCATGATCTTCTCACTCTATACAAGGCCCAGATAAGGGCTAGCCTCGAGTATTGCTCGCACGTCTGGGGTGCTGCCGCCCAGACTACATTATCCATGCTCGACGCTGTCCAGAGGAGGGCGGTCCGACTGATCGATGACTCTTCTCTAACAGACAGTCTCGGGACTCTTTCGCACCGGCGGGCAGTCGGCGACCCAGCTCTCTTCTATCGCTACACCAACGGGCTTTGCTCCTCAGAGCTCGCTTCCATGATGCCGTCGCGCGATGTGCCTGCCAGACAGACCCGCCTAACTTTGGCGTCCCATCCTAACCGTGTCGAACTTCGTACATCCAGAACCGGCTGATACGACCGCTCCTTTGTCCCGAGGGTCTCGAGATTGTGGAACAATCTACAAGAGGAAGCTTTCCCAGTTCTATTAACCTTAGGTAGTTCAAAAATTAATTAATAATATTGCTTTGGGATCATCATATCAGCCGCGGTGTTCCGGCATTTAGGCTTCTGCCTGCGCGGCTATAAGCCACATATTCTTCTTTTGATTCTGTAAATTGCGCCAACTTTTGTGTCGATACACAAATGAAAAATTACGTTTTTGTAGCTGAATCATGCGATGTAGGTAAGAAGTATTTCTTGGTTTGATATGAGAATTAGGAACCCATCTTACGCTCACCGTAAAATTATATTATCTTGTTTGAGAAACTCTTACAAGAAATCATTAGATACTACTTCAATGAGGCTTTCTTATTGATTCAATTTGCGCCATAGATGGAAATTTTGATTCTCGCGAGTTCAGTAAAATCGGGCCTTATTACCACTTATTTGTTGCTAGACAACTACCGGCGATATAATGAAGGTCGTTTTACCTTATTTCTGATTCTACTCAAAAGCTACTCTAATTTCTTTACTTCAGTCGCAAATTAATAAAAGTTGTATGTATGTATCACGAGAGTAATAAGCGTCTGTACAAACTTCAATTACTCTTCGGTAAATACATAAATAACTATTATTTACCTGACTCAATCATTTCAGATTGAGTTCGTAATATATCGTATTTGGCCGTCCTTTTGCGTTGTCTTTCCTCCATATAATGACGAATCGTCGACCAAAAAGGAACAGTATACAATAGTTTGATGATTACTTCTACAGTGCTCTTGCGTGAGAACTCCATGAATTGGAAGATGGACATTTGCCCTAGTCCAAGCGCTTTTATCTGGATCAAATGAAACAAAGAATGTTAATAGTTCAATGTTAATTGCTGTGAACCGCTCCAAAATATCGATGTTATTTATACGTCGCTGTAAATCGGGTTTTCTTTAACAACTGTTAAACAACAGAAAAACCATTCAGGGTTTGTCCGGAAAGTAATAGGACTGAGTCGATTTAAAAAATGTATTGAGCCAATCGTTACAATTCTTTAAAAACCTTCAAAATAGGCACCTTCTGCGTCGATGCAGCGCTGCCAGCGCGATTTCCAAGCATTGAAGGCGTCACGGAAGGCATTCTTCGGAATAGCCTTGAGAGCCGCGGTGCATGCTGTTTGGATACCCTCTGTCATCTTAAAATGCTTGCCTTTCATCGGCCTCTTCAGGCGAGGAAACAAAAAAAAGTCTGAGGGGCACATCTGGGCTGAAGGGTGGTTGCGGAAGCGTTGGGATGCCGGCCTTGGTCAGGCAGCTGTTCACAGGAAAGGCGGTCTGAGCCGGGGCGTTGTCGTGGTGCAACTTCCAGTCGACTGCGATGTCTTGTCGGACCCGATTGACCCTTCGTTTGAGTCTCCTGAGCACTTCCACGTAAAACTTGGCGTTGACGGTTTGTCCAGGAGGAACAAATTCATGGTGGACGATGCCTTTGATGTCAAAAAAGACAATGAGCATCGTTGTCACTTTGGATTTGCTCATTCTTTCCTTTTTTGGGCGAGGAGACGCCGTCGTGTGCCACTCGGAAGATTGCCTCTTTGTCTCGGGATCATACTCAAAGATCCACGACTCGTCATCTGTGATTACGTTATTCAAAAATTGGGGGTCACTTTCACACATGTTCAAATTTTCTTGGCACACTTCCACTCGCCGCAATTTCTGGTCGTCAGTGAGCACTTTTGGGACCATCTTTGTGCACACCTTACACATGTTCAAATGCTGTGTCACAATGTCATGAACCACAGATTTTGGTAAATCTAACATCTGGACAATTAAATGAATACTCAGTCGACGGTCTGAGTTCAAAACTTTGCGCACACGAGTCACATTATCGGTGTTTGTGGAAGTCGAAGGTCTTCCAGCACGGTTTTCGCCAGCGACCTCTTCCCGGTCCTCCAAAAAGGCCTGGTGCCACCGAAACACACCACTTCTTGCTAAAGCAACACCTGCATTCTCGGCTTGCACCACTCACAGAAACACGTCGCGCAAAAATGCCTTTCCTGATTCTCCAAGTGCTCGGAGACAACTGACCAGCCGCTCATTCCTTAGCTAGGAACGCCCTCTACCGAATCCAGTCGGTGCGCGTACGCTCCGAAGTACAGTCATGGCGGAAGAAAATGAGTCCTATTACTTTCCGGACAATCCCTGTATGAATATAGATCAGAAATGTTTACCTTACGGACATTTATGAGTTGCAATTAGTATTAAGATCTATCAAAAATAAAAAAATCATCAAGCATTGACGAAATTTCTCTGAATGTTATAGCTAAATCTTTCACTTGACGCTGTTGACACGCTCACAAAACTTAATATTTCTCTTAACACAGATGGTTACCCAGAATTTTTTAAAACATCAATAGTTATCCCTATTTATAAAGTAGGTCCAAGCGAATTACTAGAAAATTATAAACTCATAAGTGTAAGTACTCTTAAAGCAAAAATAATAGAAAAAATAGTTCAAATTAGATTAAGAGGCTTTCTAAAAACCGATACAATTATGAGTGACAAAACCAAAAAAATACCGTGGATGCTATTTTCACAGTACTCCAAGATTTGAGGCCGTCTGTCAGGATACAAAATTTTGTTCATAGTTTGGTACCAAATTTTGGGAGAAAATGCGTTACTGAATGAATTTAGTTCCCAATTTGTTCACAAATTAAAATCCTGTCTGTCACGTAAACCTGTTGGTTTTAGTCTATGGATGTTTTTAGATTTAAAATAATACTCGTATGTTTAGTCATAATTGAATACTTTTTGAAATCCAATTTTGGTAGGATTTTCCGAATTAACAATAGTTCTTAAAGTCAAAAATATTTCTATGCCGCTCTGAATTACTGTGTGTGCAGATGAAAATTGATCTATACAAGAGTTATCAGGAGAAACATTTTATAGATCTTATCGTTGCGCTAATCAGACAATAGAACGAACATATTTATCTAGAACCTTGCTAACCTCAAACAGATGCGAGTATCCCATTCCAAGCATGTAAGTGTACATCATACTCAGGTAAGCGTAAATGCAAAGTGGGAAGCTGCAGATTAGTGTGGCTTTCCTTTTGTCAGGTATCATCCAGAGGACGATTCCTAATATCAACATCCAGATTGACGTAACGTTTATAAATGTGATTGACCATACCTGAAATTAAGTTTTACCTAGATTAACGATTACAAGCACGCAAAAGGCAGAGAGATATTTACTTCTAAATATGCATGGAAAACTTTATCAATACAATGGTTATTGAAGTCACATTTTGTAATGAAGGTGCTTAAAACCCTCGCTACCAAAAACCCACAAAAACATTGTGATGCTAGAGTTTGATCAAAGCTTGTTGGAAATATTTCTAAATGTAGCGTGATAGCGGCAGCTAGAACAGCCGAAAAAAATTTCAATGTTGTTGGAGGAACAACTGGCTAGAACAATCTGTCTACGCTTTTTGTATTTTACGACTTTCATATTAAACCATTCATAGTTGCATTTGTTCCTTTATGGAAACATTTTCCATAATTTTAGTTTCCCAAAATATCTGTAAGTCGCTGGACTTCAAATTCAGCAGGCTTAACCACGGGAATTTCGCACAAACCAAGCTTGTTATTCTTTTTAAATAACCATTTTTATTGGCAACCTCCTGTGCCGTTAGCTTATAAAAGATATTTTTTGCGTTCTTCCTCCACTGATTTTTTTTTAAATTCAGTTTCTGGATTCCTGCCTGGAAACCGAATTGAAGTTTCACTTACAAAGGGTTTCAACTTACCATTATTACACAGATGGATAAGACATATGAATAGCGACGAGTTACTTCTAAGAAGGATTTCAGTAGCTGGAATGAACGGCTCCATCTTCGGTCTCTAGTTGTATCTATTTAAAAATTAATGCTTAGCATTATTTATATCAGCCTTTTGGAGCCCCAAGTAAAATTGATCATCCAAGATCCAAAACTATCTCCCAATTCACGATTGTGATAACAACAAAAGAACCTCCCCGCACGCTCCGCCACATCTGATCCCACTTGAGAAAAATTTATCCGAGAGGTCGTTGTACAAAAAGCCTAACCGCACCGAGAATATTTTGTCAAACTGAGTAGTATACCATCAAATAATTTTGAATAGTCAGGGTATGAGTGACTGATGGTAAAAATTGCACCTTTACCTTACCAATTTTCGATATCAAATGCTATTTTCTTGATAATAGACAAACATTACGAAGGTTGATGTAATATTTCCCTTACCGTGACCATGGTCATGTACAGGCTTCTTGTTCATCTATAACAAACAATAAAATATCGCTGGCTTCTTCACAGAACTACCTACCTTTCCGTACAATCTACTCAAACACATAACATTTGTAAATGTTGATTATAAAGTTTGCCCTCAAAATTGAGACTTTCCTTTATAGAGCGTATAGGTCAGGCAATAATAAGCATGTTGCTTTAGTAACATAAGATAACCGAGATATTAAGATCCGAATAAACCAGTACGTCTCTACCATCCTCCCCTGTCACAATGTCCTCCTACGTCATAACAGATAAAACTATGCGAGTCATTATCCAAACCAAGCGTCGGCAGGTGTCTAGGTTAACCTAGCTTATAAACAAACCGCATTTGAAAAACCGAAATTGGCATATTTATAAAAGAATAACGTCGATTTGATATGAGCAACTGCAAGATCACATTGATACTCCGCGACTCTACTCAGAACGTCGCCACCGTCCTCGATGTTACTTTCTATTAGAGCTGCATATGTTTGTTAATATCGTGGAAATCCGGCTGGTTGATCACAGTTGAAGACCTACACAGCCCCACATGTTGCAAATTTAGGAAGAAGTAAACAAACTCGTGTTTTTGAATCGAACAGAGATTATTTCACGCAGTGTTTACAAACAAAACATGTGACATGTACTTGAAATTCCTCACCAAACTAATACTGAGTTTTTTTCTTCAATTCTTCAATTTCTTTTTTACGTTTTCGGTGTTGTTTTGCCCCAAATTAGCTTTGATATTGCAAGCGTAGTTGACTCTAAAAAGCAAGGCCCAACTTTCAGGACACGTTATTTAATAGCCATTGCATTTGTATAAATAGCTATATGTGTAAAAAGGAACATACTAGTACCTCAAACTTTCTTCCCTGCATCTGAAACAAATTTACAGGAATGAGTCTTTTTTAACCTTATACGAGCTGTTTTATATTCAAAATGTGAAAAATTTTATACAGGACTTTTCAAAAAGGCCCTCCCCCTACTTATTTTTTGAACGGGTCAAGATAGCAAGCTGAAATTTGGAGTGATGGAATTGATGCATGATGTGTGTAACCGTACCTCTGATTCCAATGTGTTCTAATTTACTCAATAGTTTTTCTGAATCTATAGTGTAAAATGCTTTTTGTAATAATAATAATACAGCCATTTTTGGACTTTTGTAATCAATAGTTTTAATTAAGTTGCCTACTAATAATTTTATGGCATCTTTGGTAGATACACCTTTTCTAAAGCCAAACTGTGAATTAGATATTAATTTGAATTTATTAATAAACTGATCTAGTCGTAATTTCAGAATCTTTTCAAAAAACAGAAATTGGTCAATAAATATTCAGTTCTGATCTAACTTCACTTTATGTATTGCTATAATTTAAGCCGTTTTAAATGCACTGGGATAATTACCAGTTTGAAAAAACCAATTTATTATGAATATTTTAGCTATATAGATAGCCTGGTGATTTTTTGTTTTTATAGTTTCAATAACTTCGTGTTCATCAGTATTTGTTAAGTAGAATGAATTTGGTGTGTAGTTTTTCTGTAGAGGCTCACTATACGTTGAATTTTTTTTTTAATTTTATTTCTGAGTGTGCCACCTGTATTAGAAAAAGTATACAATTTTTTTTGAGATTTCTTGTTTAGATTTACATACGATTTTATCTTTTATCATGTTAATTGTAGTATCTCTCTGTTATGTTTCCGTTTCTTTCAAGGCATTCCATAGCGATGTAGAATTGTTTCCATTTTCACTACTATTGTTTTGGATATAATCTTTTTTGGCGTTTTTGATTTTTTCAGTTAGTTTATTTCTACTTTCATGTTTTCTAATGTAGGGTTATTAATCATTGTTTTATAAAATTTGTCTTCATTTTCCATTTGTTTCAGAACGTCATTGTTGATCCATTTTTTCTTCAAATACTGCACATTTTTAATCTAATTTTATTAGTGCTTATATCAACATAATATTGAATTTTTTCTATGTAGGTATTGGTAGATATCTCTATGTTTTCAGCATTTAATATATTTCTACTTTTCGTTAGTCATGTTATTAGTTTAATTTTATCTAAACAGTATTTATAATGAGTAGTGTTTCGTGTAATTTGTAATATATGTAATATTGAAGAGACTGATTTTTTTTATTCAAATATAATAACAATTTTATATTATCAATTATCAGCCTCAAAATAACCTTCTCCTGAAGCCACACAGCGCTGGTTCTTTCACTCCTCATAGCAGTGCTGGAACTCCGATACTGGAATAGCTTTCAGCTGGTCGGTTACAGCCGCTTGAATGTTTTCTACTGTCCCAAAATGAGTTTCCTTGAAGTGACTTTTCAACTTCGGGAAGTAAAAGTCACAAGGACTGAAGTCAGGCGAATAAGGAGGCTGAGGAGCCACATGAATGTTTTCACTGGCCAAAAACTTGTTTATTGATATTACTATGTGACTAGGAGCACTATCGTAATGTAACACCTAGTTGTTCTTGAACCGACGAACGGTGGTGTGAGTCAAATTTAACTCTTTCCCTATAATTCTAACTGCCAATTGACGATCTGAACGCACAAGATCTCGGATTCTGTCGATATTTTCATCGGTTTTTGAAGATGAAGACCTTCCACATCGTGGTTCATCTTCAATCGACTCCCTTCAGAAAATGCCTTAAACCATCGAAAAACCTAGGCAAATGACAAAACACTATCTCCGTAGGCCTACTGTAGCTTAGCAAGAGTTTCCATTGCACTTTGCCCGAGTCTGAAGCAAAACTTGATAACATACTGTTGCTCGAAATTCATGGCACTCATTTTTAGAACACAATAGAAAAACTGTTTCACAAAAAAAATCGCTACCGACAACCAAACTTGTACTGAAAGCGGATCACTTGTTCTCCTGTCTCCCCTCCAAGCCCGGGACCTCCAGTGTTCATCACTGAATTTACAGCCTTCGTATATTATACGGTTATAAAGTACTAATTAATAAGTATGTTCAAAATAAGGTATCACACGACCTCTCTTCATTTAAAATATGTCACAAAGCAACGTAAAGTCAAGTCAACTGTTATTTTTACGCTAAAATATAGTATCCATGCGACAGTTTCATCATCCTAAACTTCAGCTTGCTAACTCGCCGCGTTCAAGAAATGAGTAGGTAAGCCTTTCTGAAACACAAGCCAATAGATGTAACAAGAAAATTTATCTGATTTAAAAAGTGGAAACAAGTTTCACACATACCATCCTCTTCACTTTTCTGGTGATAGACCTCCATTTTGTTCGGACACCCCTCCTTTTATCTTCAAGGAGAAATTTCTGTGGAATAACAAACTGTATCAAAAATCTGACTTTGTTTCATCACACTACATAATCTCAAAATGCAAACAAAGGATTGTATGCCCAGTCCTCCAGTCGGGTGCAATGAATCAAAGAAATCTTGATGCGTATATTCATTCACCATTAATTAACAATGACACAATGGCCTTCCATTTCATGCACTCCACCATTCTATTGAAGACCTTTGACTGAATGAACATTTTTCAATAGTTCAAATGAAAAATCTGTTAGGTGGAACAGTGCAGTGTTCATCATATTCAGAGCATCAACAAGTAAATCAGGAATTAATGAACCATATTATTACATAAGTACGAGTATATAGGCATTCACCATTTTTGCAATGTTTGTCATTGCAGAAATCAGCCTGGCTAAACCACTTAACAAGCATTCAATTCTTATTCAAAAAGATGGATAATATGCCTTTCAGTACTTTTGTAGTTGGCAATAATCAAAGTTCTTTTCAATACAGGGTATTCTGTACCGTGGTAGGTAGTATGGACCGAAATCTTTTCACATCTAAAAATTAAAAACTTCCGAATTCAGTTTTTACGGATATCTGAACATACAAAATCCTATATATTACATATGTCAGGTACTATCGAATTCGATTTTGTTAAAATTTTGGACGACAACGGAGTTGCCTAATAGTAATCTAAACCTAGAAGGACGGTTGAAAAATCTAAGGCCGGGCTCGAATTTTCCATTCCACTTTTTTGTCTTATATCAAAATCAGTAATCCATATGGAAATGTTTAGAGTATGTACAAAATCCAATCAATGGTGCTAATATATTATTAAAATAGACCAATTGCGCCTCTTTTGGTCTTTTAGTTTAGCGTTTTTATTTATTTTAACATCTTAATATTAGCAGTTTATGTGTTACACAAAACTCAAAATTTCAAGTGTTTTCAATCTGATATTGTGAACAATTCACGAAATAATGCGTAAAATTGGACTAAAGGCGCTTTAGAAGCTTAAAATTCCAGGACCGAATTCAGTATTATCATTTTCTTGAATATTATTAAATGCAATCCTTGTACTCATACTCTGAATTTATTATTATTTTGCAGATACGAATGAAGTGGAAAATTATGGTTATGTTTGTTTTTTCAGTATTTTTCACTGATTTAATTCCACCAACTGATGTTATACGACGACATCAGCCCTGCTTTGAAGGAAAACGGCTTTTTATACAAATGCACTGATCTGGCTCTGCAGAACAATTCATGATCATGATGAAAATTAAAAACCTAATATACAGGTCCGGACTCCGCATTTTCAGCATAGTTACGTTTACGTGAACTCATCAAAAACCTACGTTAGATTTACTGACACAATTAACACATGGTACATCATACAATTAAATGTTGGACCTGCATACTACGTTTTTTGGAATTTTAAGATGGTCTGGAAGGTGAAAGTTAATGGAATTGCATAATAAATGTTGTTCCCCTTTAAGCAGAACTCAATGTTGCTATACAATATCAATTTGTAGAGCTAAATCATTCGAGCTAATACCAAAAAAGTGAATAGGGTGCATGACAGCAATTTTCCCTTTTATATATGATATATGATGTGTTGGTCTTTTTTCTGCTAAATGATAATCAATTTATAATTGGAAAAAACTGAATCCGATACTGGAATCTAGTTCTTAAAACATCTTTACTTCAATTTTAAGCATTATTTTGTAAAATGTGGATGACACGAAGTTCATAACCCTTGAAATATCGATGATATCTCTCAACTGCTAAAAATCAGGTACTTAAACAAATCAAAGTTTTTAACTTAAAAACCAAAAGAGGCCAAAAAAAAATAATCATCAAAGAAATGGGGGGATTTTCAACCCCTCCTCACGGAAATTTAAGTTTCTTTATCTTTGAAGATGAGTTGCCATAGAAACCCCCCGCTCAGTCAATCGGTTTTTTGCTAATTAATAAGCACCAATCATTGACTATTTTTGTAACCGGTTGGCCGTTATTGCTATTAATTAGTGAAACATAATTAGCTAATTAGTCAAATACATTAATTAATTAGTTAAGTGACCAATTTGAGCGAACTTAAAGTTCATCAAGTGATTTGAGAAAAAGATGTAAGGTAACTTACCTATTTACTATCTTACGCTGAGAAGGCTTCTTAAGATCGGAGCACACCAAGTCAATTAAAATTAAATTAAAATCAACTAAGTAATGATTTTAGACTTAATTATATACTTAATGTTTGAATAACTGATAAGAAGAATCTTCAAACGCTATATCTTATATCTTATCACTTTGGCACTGATCTAGACACTCCATTCTCAAGAGTGGCAGACGGGAGATGCTCAAGAAAAAGTCTGACACTCGGTTGGGGTTGAGTGTAGTTGAACTACATGGCTACGAAATGAATCAACTGATTAACGAGAGTTGAAGATAATCCGCTTATTAACTCTCAAGATAAACAGATTACTTCAGAAAAGAAAAGACTGGGTTGTTTAGTTGAGTTACTCTGTCAGCCAAATGAGTAACTTTCAAAGACGAAATCGAACTGATTTCGTTACGATTAATTAAAAATTCAAACTTCAATTCGATGAATTAGCTGATCGAATAATGAATACGGGAGTAGAACTAGATATAAATTAGATAGGTTGTATAAGATCAAGAGGTTGAGATAGTTTCATTATGAAAGTATTAATGAGATGTTAAAAGATGCTAAATTGATCTATAATGAAGATACCGAGAATCACAATAATCACTGCATGAATAATTAGTGGCCTCATGACCAAAAGGAAATTGAGAATTTAAGCTCTAGAGAACAGAAAGCTTACCAGTTATTTTCCCTCGAAACTCAAGCACAAAACTGTGTACCTGCTCTTCCCGAACGATCATCTTGGACCGAGAGGTCACGCTGATGATGATTCGTTTAGTGGTGTCGTATTTAAAACGGACAATTTTAGAATATGTACAATCAGATCAACAAATGATTTTCTTCATATTATTTGATGAACTATTCTATCAGGCACCTAAAAATTAGACAGGTAGGAGAGTTGGACAGTCGTTAACGTTAAAGTGAAAGCAAGCCGATATCAGAGGAGAGCTCTACCAAAAAATCTTTTTCGGCTATAATTTACTTGATGTTTTGAATTTCTATTACAGTTGAATTTTTCATTTTATATATATATATATATATATATCTTCGAACAAATGCTTAACTTCTACGAGCACCGTTTTTGTGTGTTTATATGCCCCTAGTATAAAGTTTCTGTTGGAAGGCTGTAAACCTTATGGGTTGCGATTTTCTTATAAAATGCACAGATTTGTCTCCATGTTACATTTTAAAAAGTGTTAGTTTTGATAAATAATAATAAACAGTAAAAATCGGCCCTGGATCTTTTAAGCGTTCGTCTAGTTTTACATTACTCCACTGATCAACGTCCATCCAAGTGCAAAACCCTGTATATGTATGTTGCTCTAAGTCCTGAAGTCAACGAAGATAGAAATATAACTAGCATTTTCGTAATCGACCACATCATAATAATATGAATGACACTCACATCAAGATTTCTAAGCATGAGAGCGGTGTTCACCATGAAGTAGTAAAGTACGTAGAGTATGATGGGATGTAACAAGTTGATCCAATCCTTGGTGTTAAAAACATACATAGTAAAATCCGGTCCATATGTGGGCGACGGCGTTGCTAGGCGGTCGATTCCAAACAACCTGTAATCAAGTAACATTCTTGAACAACAGTTGTTAAGATAAACCATATATGGGCGTGGGCGACATCAGCTTTGCGAGACCTCTTCAATTTCACAGTAAAAAAAAATCGTTAAATTGAATGAGCTGACTTATACACTAATACTCGTATATTAGTATATGCGTTTTATTGCAAGTCAAATGATGACAAAAATGAAGCTTCTAGCCTCACTGAATTTTTTTAAGATTATTTCATAACTAACACGAGCCTCTATTTTCGCATAAATTGGTAGAATTGATAGAGCAGATAATATCTTCTGGCAAGCATTTGGATATCCTTCCTCCAAATTATGTTGTAAAATGTACTGGATAAGTTGTCTTACGTCATTAACAGAGTCTGGTAAAATGAATTTAAAAGCTGGAGCACTTCACACAGTTCGAGAGGCTGTATGTCGCTGCTTTCACCTTTCCAAAGTATTGTACCTAAGCAGTTAAAAAGCTTAACAACGTCCTCCTTTGATATATAGGTTTCAAGAAATTATTTCTTGAGGAATTCTCTTGAAATTATGACGTTGATTCGAGATAACAGATACATGAAATGAGGTGATATTGTTTCAAATAAAGTTCTTACAATTAAAGGAGGAGAGACACGGTAGGCAATACTAACAAAAGCTCTTCTGAAAAAATATATCGTTAATAATAACATAATTAACGAAACAAGGATAACGAAATTGATCTTTACTTTAGTCGCAGAGAAGCTCAATATCTAATAGCTCATTAGGATCTACAAAACTCAAAACAATATCAATTTATCAATACATCGACGTTTATCTCTAATCTAGAAATAATTGGGGACTTGTTATACATCGAATGTCGCATGCGGTATAGTTTTTTCCAAGGTGGCGGCTCTGTATTCCATTTTTTTGAACGTGGGGTTACCCAGTGGTTAAAAAATAGGATATTTTTATAACCTTCCGAGACAACGCCGTCATTAGTTCATAAAGCATTAAGTTCAGCACAAGTTAAACTCTTTGGCAAGAAATTAGTTACGAACATAAACAATAAAGAAATTAAACGAATCAAGTCATTCAAAGAGACCCATACAATTAGTTCATAGACTTTCTCTGCCTACCCTCCCGGTAGTTACTGTCCATCTGGCAACGTTGCCCCTTCCCATATCGCCAGAGGAAACAGCACCCACTGAAGCACCGCCGCAGTATGAGCAGCGCAATCAATCAGACCATTACGCCGGGCGCAGAGTCCAGATAGCAGATGTAGGCGCATTTCGAAAACATTCTTTTTTCATTCTAGGTCTTAAGGAATCCTATGATGTATGACATGTGGTTAATAGGTGCGTAGATATACCGGAGTTGAGAGTGTATAAATATACTAAAATTGAGATAAACCCACCCCCACATCCCTTCAACCTCCAACCGCCTGATTTTTTTTACCCTAGACATCTGAAGCGTAAAAAACCAAGTTTAACCGATTTATTATTTTTCCTACAAAGCTTTTGCGTTCTTCGTGTAGTAGCAGAGCTTAGATAACAATGGGCTATGAAACTTTCCTGTCAGGGTCAAAAACGGCTGCCATTTCGGCGGAGAAAATCGAATGTAAATTCCCCCAGTACTGCAATGAAAGAGGTTTTAGTGCTCAGCAGCAGCCGGCGTTGCCTCGTGTCATTCCAGCGCCGCAGATATTCTTTGCAAGCTTAAAATGATATTATTTCGATATGATATAGTGTACCGGCTGCTGCTGAGCGCTAAAAACTCTATCATATTTGTACTGGGGGAACTTACATTGGACTTTCTCTGCCGAAATGGCTCTCATAACGGCTCGACGTTCTGCGCCGTTTGTTAAAGAAAACTTACCCACTTGTTTGCTTCCCATCCATCTGTCCCCAAGACCAAACCTATGCCGCACTGAGAAATGAACTAGCGCCAAATATTGCTGTATGCGGTTGGTCATGGTTAGAGAGACAGATAGCGAACATGTCCTTACTCGTCCATATGTCGCTCGCCAATCGAAAAAATCTTATTCAATGTAAACGATTCGGTCACAACAGTGACCTTCTTCAGCACAGTGACTTCGACAATTTATCTGTCTTCCAGATCACACACACGTTTTTTTTTTCATTTTCAACAGTGTGTTGCTACAATAGTGTGAAAGGTCTCGTAACATGCAAAACCAGCATAGCTCAGGACTGCCTGGGGGTAGGCATGGCATTCCCGCTCCTAAAAAGGGACGTCCACCCCTCCAAAACGACAAGCGTTTTTTTTTTTGATGTACCAGATACGTCACCCTCGTACATCGTCCTAAAGTTACCAAAAGTCTTAGAAAAAAAAACTTAAAAATTCACCCAGAACTGTTGTTACACACCGGTTAATTGTTATGCAATCCCGACTAAAATCTTGCAGATGCATCGTTTATAGATCTGAAAAGCGAGGAATAGTTCTTCGACATTTAAAGGGAACCATGTTGTTTGCCCTGTGAGAAAATAATGTGACGCAACAGTTTGGCCTTAAGATGGCGAAGCAAAACAACTGCGCGTTTGAGATCCAACAACAAACCATGAGTAAAAAACCTGGATAAAAAACTGACGGTCCATTAGTTGGTTGAGTATCATCAATTAGATATTTCCTTCAAAGATATTTAACCAAATCGGGTCACAGTCCACAAAACAACTAGAAAGACAATTATTGCTTAATTTTATATAGACTGGTTGCTTTACCTTCGTTTTGTAATAGTTGTCCTCTCTGTGTAGTAATGATACTTCCTCAAGTTTACTCTATGTCTAGTTTCCCTCACATTTCGCTTAGTGCGGTGAAAAATCAGCGCTGTCTGCAGTTTTATCGTGCTTACAGAGACGGAAAGCAAACATGTCCATTTCCAACATGATCATGTATTTTTCATATCTTACCCGCTGCCCTTATGACCCCACATATGAGTGCATTAGGTGCAAAACTCTGTATTTCAAAAAATTGTAAAAACTGGGTTTTGGTCACTAAATATTTCACGTTTCCAACCACTATGTTAATACAATCAGCAAGTTGCAAAAGTACCTATTTATTCAGATAATATATGTAAAGTCGCCGCGTGTCAAAAGCAAAACTCTGTATTTGACGATCCCTTCCAGTTGCATAACTCTATATTTACTTTAGACCAATCAGAGCTCTTGCTCCCATCACGTGACTCTGATGAGCATGTCAAAAATTGTTAGCCTAGGGCAATAGTTGTTAAATTTTGAGAAGCGAATGGTAGCATCATGGATCATCCCACAAAAATAACAATTTGTGAGACTGGGAAAGGAAGAAAACGTGTGGTTCAAAGAGAAAATTGGAAAAGAGTTAAAATGCATATTTTAAGGTAAACTTCTTAATTTTTTAACGGGGACTTATGATTAATGTCCTTTTTTGTGTAAGCACAAGCCCAAAGGCTTACCAGACTTTCCCACGTATCGACACGCAAAGGAAGTAGATGTAGAGATTTGAAAAGATATCCTACATCAATTCCACAAAAACTTGTATTCGAGCACTGACAAAGTCAAGCAAGTCATTTTAATTTTTAAGTTTTGCGAAGAGCAGAAGCCGAAGAGAGCAATTACCAACCTACATGGCATATCCTTGCAATATTTTGTTCCAACAGTTTAAGGGTTTGTAAAAAATCCTTCTTGAACATTACCCACCTGAGTGCTGAGAGAATTGATAGAATTTTACGGAGAAAGTCATTATGCTAGAGGACAAACAACTAGGTTGTATTTGCCTTGTGATTTGAGTTTTTCCAAGTTGTATGAGATGTACTGGCAGCAGTCACCTCAGTTTCCAGTGAAAATATCATATTTTCGCTTGTGTGTCAACATGAAATATAACTTATCATTTGGCATTCCTTTGAGCGATGCTTGCTCAATATATCTCAAAGCAAGCAGTCTCTGAAGAAACAGACTTCTGAAAAAGGATAGTTAAAGGGAATGATTGAATAGAGGGTCAATATCCTGAGAGCAAAAGCATTTTATTCTTTACTAAAAACTGAAAATGATTATGTACAAATATTTTCTTTCGACTGCCTGAAGAATCTATGCTTACCAAAACTGCCAAATCAACAAGCTTACTTCTCCTAGCAGATAAACTTCTTGAACTTTACCATAGTAGCTGGGAAGCTGTTTCGCCCACCAATGTAAAATCGTATCTATGTCTGGAATAAGGAACACCCAAAAAACTCAAACGCAGTTGAATCTGCAGTCCATGAGACCCTTGTTAAGTTCAATTTTGGCGACCAAATAGAGCAAGTTCACCTCTTTGCGGATGGATGTGGTTGGACAAAATAAAAACAATACAGTGATAGCGATGATATGTACTGGCTAGCAAATGAAGTCCCCAAAAATATCAAAGTGGTTCAAACCACTTTTCCTGTTGTTGGCCACTTATTAAAAAACTCAAAAAGAATCAAGATATAATAATTAATAGAAAGCAATATGAATACATAATTTCAAGGCATTCAAGGATTTTAAAAAAGTTCTTGAATATTGGCAGCTCTTTGACTGGAAAACAAAGACTGATGCCTTGAAAAAAAACCTAGTCGATGGCATTTTAAATGTAACGAATCAAAAAGGTTTATATTCTGCAAAAAAAAACGATTATGTGACGTTAAGGGGTGAAATCTTCTACATGTCACAAATGGGGTGTGAGAAAACGATAGTGAAGAAAGGAAAAAAGATTTCTCTACCGAAACCAGATATCCAAGAAGTTGGAAATACTTTAAGAGGCGACAAATCTTCCATAGATTTCTTACTTAAAAAACATTATGGAACAGACTGGAGAGACAATCCAGATGCATGTCTGACTCAGAAGACAATGTTACGGAAACTGGCCACATAGATGATTATGATCCGGAAGATCTCAGAGTGTGACTGGAAATTAGTTATGTCTTTTTTTATTTTGTATTAAATATTTTTTGTAAAATAAAAAATTAACTTTGGCGTCAGTAACTTTCACCAGTTTTTATCAAAGCATAAGCCAAAAGCCGTCGACACGACATCCATGGGATATTTGCATATTTCAGATGCAAATGCCTTTATATACCTATCTTGAAGAGTTTTTTCTGAAAAGGAACAATGAACAAAACATGAACCTATATCTTAAAAATGTGTTCCCGCTTGAAAATACTGAGAGGAATAATAATTAACAGTTTTTGGTGATTATCTCAGAATCACTTAGATATCAAATACAGGCTTCTGCATCTTACATACTCATATGTCTTATTATATCCCAAATAACTTCATTTTTCTAGGCGTTGATGACCGCACGTCGTTCGTTTTAGGAAACGTTAATGGATGGTACCGAATCAACTTGCTGGAGGATACCTGTTTTTAATCATATAACGATCTATAAGTGACCTTACCTATTGTATATAGTCTCTTCAGGACTGCTATCTTGTATAATCTCTATCTGATACATATACTCCCAGATAATATGTATCATTGCAATTGGCATGCAGAAGAAAAGGACTATAGAAAGCAATCTGCGCAGATCCTTGTTGAACGCCCAACAGCTTATGAAGAAAAGGAAGAGCAGGAAGTAGAGCAAGCCGAAAACTGCATGCTTCCACAATGCACTGAGTAGTAACATGCAGATGGTTATGAATTTTCCTGGAAGAAAAATAACACTCAGTAGACTAAATTTTGAAATGAATTTATCTCGACTATGGCTCTTTCCTTTTTAATTATTTTAATGAATATTCGGAAATGTTTATACCAGGTGACTCAAAATAACATATCAGTCTATTATATACCACCATATACGTATTATAAGTACTTTTCTCCGTTTTAAAAATCTAGTTTGAACAGAGCTAGAGCATTTGGTTCTGCTACTGTCTCATAGATGATCTTTCAGACGTCTTTCCAGGCGCCGGGATACAGTATATGATTGGCTTTTTTCATGTAGGATACGTTAGTCAATGTATTTTCACTACGTTGATAGACCATGGACCTAAAGTTAATGGTTGTAAAAAGACATTCATATCTGTACGGATGGATGTTGAAATGAACAAAAATAAATTGCGTGTCAGGTATTAACAGAGTAGTTTTTTATTTGAAAGATCATGTATGGCAATTTGTAAGGAAAAATACATGAGTCAACCGCCAGTCCAGGCTTCTCACAGTGACTTGTTGGGAGTATCACATTAATGGCAAAGATATCTCAACTTCAAATGGCAATCCATCTACAATAAATAAAATCAAAGAATAAGGTCTTATTTAGCTTTTAATAAAATAAACTAAAAGTTTAAAAATATTTTTGTCTGATTGGAAATATTTAAACTATCTTCAGTTTCCAAATAAAAGCGTGTTACACCCTTTTCCATCCTGCATCGATGTAGCAGAGTTTAAAAATTAGATATATTGAATCAGTGACAAGGTGCCATATTTGTTACATGCAAAATGCCATACATGAGGCTTTGAAAAGTGTTTCGCTAATTTTTCGCACACAACTTGTTTTATTCCTTCCATCTCAAAATTAACTTATCCTTATTGGAGAACTCCTTAGGTTACAGAACTCGTACATTTTCAGTTTTCCAAAAGCTTTCGAGGAGAAAGACGTTAAACGTTTTTAGGAATAGAGTCCATTAGGCATTTTTCTCTCTGCAGCGTCTTATTTCGTCAGAATCATTCAGGCACTTAGAGATAGAACTGAAAATATATTTCCGAAAATGTATACGAAAATTATTCCAATGCTCATCTTGGAACCTGTACCTGCAGAGGTAAACACCTGTAGATATCTGAGCTTCTCCTGCCGTATTTCATTTATATCCATATAGCCCATAGCCTCCTTAGAACCAGCGCTAGCCATCATTTTCACCGCCCATGTATACAAGATGGACACCAGCAACATCACGCATTCAGGGCCCATCCAAAAAATTATTTCCAGTGGCTTAGAGGAATCTACTGCACTCAGACCTATGTTCTTCATCAGGCGACGCATTCTTGCGTTCTCCTACAGTAAAATAGCAAATTGTTTTTAGCTAAAATCAATTTTCACATCTTGTGATTCTTGGTACGTACACCGAGAAAACGTGTTCAGGAAAATTTTCATTACCCGCAACATTTTTTTAATTATTCTAACTAAATTATTCGGTTAAATTAAACCGAATTTTCTGGAACCAATTTAATTGAAAGTAATTTACGAGTAAGCTGATTTGCTTGAAAATAGCAAACCATGCGACAGACGTAGTGCCGCTGGCTAACATCCCAGTTTCATTTGTGATTTTCGCGAGGAACTTCATATTGGAACGTTGCCGTTGTTGGTGTAGTAGCTAGGAAGTGGATCAATGTATTATGATGATCAACTGAAATACTCACTTAGTGATTCATAACCACGGATATTTCTCGCTCCCAGTGAAATATTCTATATAGGGGAGTTAAATAAGGGCATTTATACCAAACATGTGCTTAACATGTATTAAAATAGACTGGTTACACCTCTTTTAGTTTTTCAGTTAAGAATATTCATTCAGACATCTTATTTTTAGAAATTATGTGACACAAAACTCAAAATGTCAAGGGTTATCAGCTTATTTTCATCAAGAGTTTACAAAATAATACACAAAATAAGATGTTCTGAAAACTCAAAATTGTATGGTCGGATTCGTTATACTCTGAATATATTATTATTTCGCTGAATAAAGAGCAATACTTGACATAAATAAAAGGGAAACATTTTTTTATTGGTACCTACATTTATGGTAAGCAATTCGCGGTAAAATTGCATAAAATTGTAGTCGGTTTTTATCCATAATATTGTTACCAAATAAGGTTAAAAAAACGGGACTCATGAATGACCAACATTTAGTAGAAGGGTTGTAGTTGCATTTAAAATCAACAGGCAATAAGGAACCATGACGCTACGGAGATATTCCGTTGCAAAGTCATACTTTGTCGCGTATTTATTATACTTGCACATCCTGTAATTCATAAGCCTAGTGGAATCTTCCAAGTATTCACATTTTTATCCAGAATAATACAGAAGCAACGTATTACAGTTTAATACAATTACACAGGGAACCATTTTCCACTTCCATATTTTAAAAGAAAATAAAGAAATGCAACATTAAAGTAGTTATTTATTTTTTTCTAATCAACACTCAAGGATACCATGAGCCACGCTGGCGTTTTTCGGGAAATGATTTGCTACACTTGCATGCCCTGTAACTCTAAAACCATTAATACAGGGTTTGTCCGGAAAGTAATAGGACTCATTTTCTTCCGCCATAACTGTACTTCGGAGCGTGCACGTACCGAGTGGATTCGGTAGAGGGCGTTCCTAGCTAACGGATGAGCGGCTGGTCAGTTGTCTCCGAGCACTTGGAGAGCCAGGACAGGCATTTCGCGCGACGTGTTTCTGTGAGTGGTGCAAGCTGAACATGCAGAGTTCGTTAGAGCAGAGGTACGCGATTAAATTGACAGAGAGTCTCCAGAGCACTTCCACGTAAAACTTGGCGCTGACGGTTTGTCCAGGAGGAACAAATTCATGGTGGACGATGCCTTTGATGTCAAAAAAGACAATGAGCATCGTTTTCACTTTGGATTTGCTCATTCTTCCCTTTTTTGGGCGAGGAGACGCCGTCGTGTGCCACCTGTGATTACGTTATTCAAAAATTGGGAGCCACTTTCACACATGTTCAAATTTTCTTGGCACACTTTCACTCGGCGTAATTTCTGGTCGTCAGTGAGCACTTTTGGGACCATCTTCGCGCACACCTTGCGCATGTTCAAATGCTGTGTCACAATGTCATGAACCACAGATTTTGGTAAATTTAACATCTGGGCAATTAAACGAATACTTAGTCGACGGTCTGAGTTCAAAACTTTGCACACACGAGTCACATTATCGGTGTTTGTCGAAGTCGAAGGTCTTTCAGCACGGTCTTCATCAGCGACCTCTTCCCGGCCCTCCAAAAAGGCCTGGCGCCACCGAAACACACCACTTCTTGCTAAAGCAACACCTGGGTAAGCCTGCTTGATCATATCAAACATCTCTGTCGCAGATTTACCGATTTCACACAGAATTTAATCGCGTACCTCTGTTCTAACGAACGCTGCATTCTCGGCTTGCACCAATCACAGAAACACGTCGCGCGAAAATGCCTTTCCTGATTCTCCAAGTGCTCGGAGACAATTGACCAGCCGCTCATTCCTTAACTAGGAACGCCCTCTACCGAATCCAGTCGGTGCGCGCACGATCCGAAGTACAGTCATGGCGGAAGAAAATGAGTCCTACTACTTTCCGGACAAACCCTGTATTTTCCACCACAAGAACGATTAGCCCTCGAAAACGACAAGCAATCACGAGGTTATTAATAATTTTTTAGTATACCAGACACGTCATCACGCCGGTTAAATTCTTATGCAGTCTTCGACTAAAATGCTGCAAATGCATTGTTTACGGATCTGATATTCGAGGAAATGGTACTTCGACATCCAAAGGAACATACAAAGGGTACTATAAAAGTTTTGCAATACATCTTCATTTATTGACTTCGTTCAAAGTGATTTCTACCACATCCAATACACTTCTCCTTCCGCCAAAACCAGCCCTTAAACCAGCTCTGCCAAGTTCCACCCGAGAGTGCGGCATACTCGTCCTAGAAAATCGTGAAACCAGTGAAAAGTTGCAGGGCGCAAGATCTGGGCTGTAAGGAGGATGCTCAATAAGTTTCAGTCCAGTAGTGGTCAAATGCTCGGTACAGGCTTTGGTGCGGTGAGCTGGAGCTTTGTCATGGTGGAGGTACCAAGTGTCCATTCTTGTCTTTGGTCGCAGATTTTGTCATAGACTCGATGAGCTTAGGCAGCCACTGTTCCGTATACTACTTAGCTGTGACTCTCTTTTGTATGTCCAAAACGTCACGCTCCATAATCCCACTCGATTTGAAAAATACAGCTATCATTTTTTTCTTAACAGATCGGGATTTTCTGACAGATACGGGTGTGACCTCATCATCAAAGACCCAAACTTTGTTTTGAGCCTTGGTCGGCACATCATAATAATAGATCCAAGTCTCGTCACCTGTCACGATGCTGTTCGCATACCGAAATTACCCATTATCAAACACTTTCAGCATCTTTGGCACCAAGTCGTACTACGAGTCATCTGCTGTTCCGTCAGATTATGCGGTACTCAGGGAAAACAAAGCTCCTTACGTGTAAATGGTCATGCAGAATTAAATGCTGGTAAATGAAAGTGTAAGGTCTCCTCTATCTGTTGGTATGTCCACTCTCCGGTCTTCGTCTCGCGGCTTTTCTTCCCTCTCAGTGTCCTCCAGAGTCAAATTGCCCCTTTGGAATTCTCTGTATCACCTGAATATAGTCGTACGATGAGGACAATCATTCTTTAATGCAAGCCTCATTTCTTCTAAGCACTGGTCTATGCTTAAACCACGCGTTATACCGTAAAACTGCCCTTATCTCACTACGTGATCACGATGCCATTGTCCGCACTTTATACTGTCAATATAGATGAATAATATGGTATAACAGGAAGTGTTTTAGATTGGTTTAGAAATTATTTGACTAAAAGGATGCAAGTTCCTTTTAGTTAATGACACCATTTCATCAAAAATTGAAAATACGTTGGGTGTTCCACAGGGCAGTATCCTGGGACCACTTCTTTTTATTTTATACATAAATGATTTACCTGCCATAGTCAAAAAATGCAAAATTCAGATTTTCGCCGATGACACTATGATTTATATAAGTACTAAAAATATTCAGTCTGGTATCTCTTATATAAATGAAGACTTGAAACTTGTCTCAAAATGGTTAGCATCTAACAGACTAAAATTAAATACAAGTAAAACGAAAGCCTTGTTAATCGGAAAAAAAGAATATACAAATGTTCAACTGAATATTGATGGTGAAGATATTGAATTCGTAGAAAATTTTAAATACCTGGGGGTTTTTGTTGACTCTCGATTAATTTTTGATATTCATTATGAAAAAGTTATAAATAAGATTAGTGGTAAAGTGGGATACTTATCGAGAGTTTCTGGATGTCTGAGTTCATATAGCAGAAAAATTATCTATAATACCATCATTCTTCCAAATTTCTTGTACTGTTCGACTATTCTATATTTAGCAAATAATTCTATTTTTGAAAGACTGCAAATTTTACAAAATAAGTGCATGCGAATAATACTAAATAAAGATAAATATACTCCAATTAGGCAAATGCTTAGCAAATTAAAATGGCTCAATGTAAAAATTTTTATCAAATATCTTGTAATGATATTCATTTATAAAGTAAAAAATAATATATTTCAATCAAGTCTAACTAATTTAACATCATCAAATTTCGACCATCATTTACATAATACCAGAAATAAAGATGACTTCCATTTAACGACCAAAAAGTATAACCTATGCTACAAATCTGTATTCCATCAAGGGTTGATTGAATATAATAAATTATATTCAGAGATAAAAGACCAGAAAACTTTGTCAAAATTTAAAGTTAAATCTACAATTATAGGTTGCCCAGCATTTACATCATTCACCATATGGCTTGAATTTACTAGTTCTAAGTTGTTTACAATTATTCTGTTTATGTAGCCAAATGTGCTAAATAAATCTTTCTGCTACTACTACTACTACTAACAACTAAATCAACAGACGTGCTGCTGGCGCCTACTATGCACTCATGGACATGTCTCAACATACAGTAACATGCACTCTCCTGCGTCAGTTTGTTAAGCCATATTGCAAAACTTTTATAGTACCTTTTGTATGTATGCCGCTAGAAATAAAAGTAGTACCAAGTGTAACATTCTAGAGCAAATTAAATACTTATTATTTTAGATTCAAGTGACATGTGATTTTATTATGTTTATGTTAACGTGATATTGTTGTTTGGAGCTAAACTCCCCGATTCTTCTTATTCTAAAACGATAAGTACTTTCCATAGATCAATCAGAATACTCACATCCATCGAAATCTCGTCTGTACTGAGGGTATAAAGATAGAAACCGGCCTGTGTAGCAAACGTTTGGAACGGTAAAAAAATCATCATATACTTGAATGCTCCTGTATCTATGTTCCGCTCGTCTAGAAGGTTTATAAACGGTAAATACAGCAGCATTGCCATGTAAATCAAACACATGAAAGAGGGTCGTACGATTATACCTGAAAAAAAAATTATACATAACATTACAGAATCTTCTTCGGTAGATTGTCAGTTGGAAGACCTGAATATCAATATTTGTGGGATTCACCCTGAATAAAAGTACTGGTATCTTGCTTTTGTATGTATCAAAGGCATTTGACAAGGTGTGGCACATGGGCCTCTTGTATAAGCTCATCCAAAAGGGTTTTCCATTTTGGCTACTAAAACTGTTGAAATCTTTTATAGAAGGAAGGAAGTTTCGGATCAAAATTAACAATGTGTTGTCAACAACATGGTCCGTAAGAGCAGAGTGTTCCTCAGGGCTCGGACTTAGGACCAATCCTTTATTCACTTTATATACATGACGTCCCTTGCCCCAGCAACTGTGAAGTCTATCTCTATGCTGACGACACTGCATTGCGAGTGACTGTGTGGAGATGCAAAGAATGCTTGACTTCATATATGAATGGTGCAACAGAAATCTGCTAACGTTAAATGTCAAAAAATGAAAACGTTTTAGGAAGAGATTCAAGTTTTAAAGACTTGGGAGTAGTGTTCGATGACAAACTCACTTTTAACGATCACATATCAGATATTGTATCATCTGCATCACGGTTGGGTTATTGTGTACGTAACTGGTCCGGTTTCTCTAATGTGGACTATTTAAGAATACTGTATTTTTCATTTATCAGGACTAAGTTAGAGTATGCGTCCTTAGTATGGTCCCCCTATATCAGAATGCAATCGGTAAACTGGAGGCTGTACAACGTAAAGCTCTAAAGTATTGGTATTTTAAGTGCAGTGGTAGATACCCAGAAAGAGGATTTGATCATGACGTTTTGTTGGAGCTTTTTGGCATTGAATCACTAAGGAATCGTCGTGACGCTCAAGCTCTCACTTTCCTTTATAAGTTAATGAATAATCATATTGATTGTGGGTTCCTACTGAGTAAGATTAATTTTCATGCTCCCAGATTAGTTGGTCGGCATAATCACATATTTTACTGTGATACACCACGGACGAATATTTTATGCAGATCCCCAGTAATGGTAATGTGTACCTTATTCAATTCAATCTGTAACAGAGCTGATGTATGTCATGACAGTCTTAATAAAATATTAAACATTTACAGGGAGCAATTGAGATAAAATCGTTTTGTTGATGGTGTCAGTTATTGTTATTCTTCAATTGGAGCACTTTTATGTTTTTTTTTCTTCTCTTTTTTTGTGGAAGTGTTTCATTATTCAAACACCTATGTATTAAGTGTTCATTCAGATCACTAATGTTTTTCTATTTTCTTTTTTTTTGTTATTATTTTCTGATTCATTGTCTATATATATATACGGGTGACTTTGAAGTTGAGTCATTAATTTTCAGATAATGATTGTAGAAGGAAGATAAACCAAAATATGTGTGTAAAAATAAAAAAAAAATTAAAAAAAAAATTTTACCTTGTTTTATAAAGTATCCTCCCGACAAGTATTTCAGTGTGGACCTGTATTTGATCGTGAAGTCTTGGAGCACCGGCATGCCGTCCATATGTGAGGTCTTAAGTCAAATGATTCACGAACCCGTTGTACTACATTAACAAAGGCACGAGGGGTTGGTTGCACTCGATTAGGAAACCGATCCGCATAAACATGTGCCATTTTTTATTTCGTTTAAGCCACGCAACAGACACCACTATTCACTACCGACTGACAATGACTGTATACAACTGAATGAAATAATTGTAAAAACATCGTTCCAAATTCTTTCGCTTTTTTGTTTCCGATGCGATGAACCGATAAGGCGGATTATATCCGTTGTCGCCAAACACGAGCACATAATATTATTATTGAGACAGGGCGGTACTCAAAGCTCCAAAGGGCTATAACTTTGTTACTTTAATTTTACCAGAAAAATGGTAAAGGAAAAAAACATTTCTTTTGATTAGATCTACTCACTGTTAAAATAAATGACTCAACTTCGAAGTCACCCTGTATATATATACATATATGTGTATATATATATATGTGTGTATATATATGTATATATATATATATATGTGTGTGTATATATATGTATATATAGATATATATACAGGGTGTTCCATAATTATTGCGACAAAATGATAGGGGTTGTAGAGGGCATAAAAATATGCAATTTTGCCTTATAAACTCCTGTTCGTAAATATGCCGTTTGAGCACTACAGTTAATTTTACCTTAAGAGCTCATAGGAGAAACAAAAAATTCACCAGCTGCAAAATGTTCGTCTAGCACATTTCATGGTCTCGCCGGTTTGTAAAAAAAGCCTGCTGTGTTTACATTTTTGTTATCGTACACCCGTACCACCTTTTAAAAGTCCAAGCCATGGGTCCAGCAGACTATCTGCCGCGTCGACGTTTTTGTCGTTGGTGGCTGCAGCAGGAGTTGAAGCAACCAAACTTTGGTCGCTACGTTTTGTTCACTGACGAGTCCTGTTTTACAAAGCACGGTTATTTTAATAGCCGTAACAGTCACATTTGGGATGAAGAAAACCCTCATGCCATAGCCATCCCTAGAGACCAACATCAGTTTTCAATTAACATCTGGTGCGGCATTGTGGACGAGCATATCATCGGGCCATATCTGCTTCCACCACGTTTGGATGGGCATGCTTATGGTCGATCCTTACAGCATGTGCTACCGGAACTATTAGAAAATGTGCCACTGAATATAAGAGCCAACATGTGGTTTCAACACCATGGCGGTCCAGCCCACTTTTCTTTACAAGTGCGGCAGTATTTGGACGACAAATTTCCAAATAGGTGGATAGGCCGAGGTGGCCCTGTGCCTTGGCCTGCGCGGTCACTTGACCTGACCCCACTGGATTATTTTATCTGGAGCTATCTGAAAGCTTTAGTGTACGAAACTCCTGTTCCCAACCAACAAGAGCTACTGGGAAGAGTGATGGCCGCGTCCGCACATGTTCAGGACATACCGGGGGTATGCCACAGAGTTCGCCGATCATTGAACAATCGTGCACAGCTGTGTATTGAGCAAGGTGGAGGACACTTTGAGCAATTACTGTAGGTAAGCTGTTTCAAGAAACTGATCTTTTTTTCTTGCTGCAGCCCAAACGGCATATTTCCGAACAGGGGTTTATAAGGAAAAATTGTTCATTTTGATGCCCTCTACAACCCCTATCATTTTGTCGCAATAATTATGGAACACCCTGTATATATATATATACATATATATACACACACATATATATATATATATATGTATGTATGTATACATGTGTATATACGGTACCATTTTGTTTTGATTTCCTGTGATTGGGTGTATACCTGTTGGAAATAAATATGTTATTATTATTATTATTATTATTATTGCTAGCCCAGTCTTGTTCTGGTAACCTGGTTCACGACAGGCTGCAGAGTGCGGTGGAGGAAGTATTGGAATGGGTGGATCGGTGGTTAATCAAAATTAATACTTCGAAAACGCAGGCAATCTATTGTACTAAAAAACGTTGCGGTTAACAAGGGGTTGACCTGACAGAAACATACTGATATTTTGAAAACAAAATTCCAAATTACCTTTCGGCAGCTTTATCCTTTGTTGTGCAGAAATTCAAAATTAAGTTTGATCAACAAGATTAGGTTGTATAAAATGGTCATAAAACCCGTAATCACCTACGCATGCGCGGATTGGTGTTTTCTTCCCAAGACGCACATGCAGAGACTGCAAGTCCTGCAAAACAGAACCCTACGCACAATTACTAACGCCCCTTGGTACGTGTCAAATAAGACCATTCACAGAGATCTTGATATTCCATATCTAAGGGATTCTGTAAAGCAACAGACGCAGCGACGTTAAATCAAGCGGAATCGCACAGCAACCCTCTGTCGCATGATTCAGTAGACTACACAGTCGAGCAAGTTCGCAAACATTCCAGGCCGCGCCTTTGGAGTTACAAAATAATTCGGGTAGTCAAAGCAATAATACTTAAGCTATTTCAAATGATTTACTTCTTTTCTTGCTCTATTTCTTCCTTCCTTTCTTTCCTTCTTTCTCTTTTCCCCTTAAACATGTTTGGTATCTGGGTAACCAGACCTGACAGACTAACAGACCGACGAGACTTTTAACTAATAGCAAAGGTCCACCGGACCGCTCTGACGAGTAATAACGAATAGTAGTATCAATATTTGTTCTATCGGAATGTAACTTGGCATATACTAATTCCAATGCCCCTTCTCTGAAATTCTAAGAAAAATGTTTCACAACCTTGTGGGCGCCAATAAGCCAACTCTTGAAAGCTAGGAATGAGAATAACTAGTAGCAGGTGGCCGGAATTATATTACTTTTTGAGGCTTTTTTCCAAGATATCTCTGACAGCTTGTGACGGTTATCAAAAAGATTGTGAATCCATCCATTTTCGATAAAATCATATTTATAGGACTTTATTATATGTTTGATTTGATTCGGCCAAACATACATTTAATTTCGTCTTTTGAAATTAAATTGATGGACGACAGTGCATTGTTTCTTCTGATATTTGTCTAGGTAATGACCCGGGGCCCGGGGAGACTTTTTTCAAGAAAACGTTAAATAATACAATTTTCTCGAAAAGTAACAAAACTACTCTTATGATCTATTAATTATTCTACACTCTCTTTTGCAAGAACTGTCTTTCGAGGAAGATCCTTCACGATATGCCATCCCTACATCTGCGTTAGCTGTTTCCTACTTAGAGAATTTTTAATATCCAATTTTGCATTTGGGTGCCATGTTTGACACATTTTTGAAAATATACTTACTCATCGAGATCAGTACAGGTACGATAATCCTCAAAATAAACATTCCAAGCCCGTAACGAGTCATGACTGTAAAGAAATAATCATTTAGTCATTAAGCATAGTTAAAAACAAGTGCATTTTGCTGTACACTATATCTTCTCTATGAAATTCTCACACAAAGCTGAAGACTGTTAATGTCATGTTATATTTTCATCGTAGTAACGATGACGAATATAATACGTGTATTACATAATTATTCGTTTTAATTTTCGTGGGAAAATTCAAAGAAAATATTTCTACATGGAAGCGCTTAAGCTTCATTACTCACGTGGGTCTCTTACCTCAATATTTCCAGCTTTTGTCTCGTTAGGGTAGAAAAACTGCTTAAACGCAAAAACAACACAAATCGTAGCTTAAAATGATAAGTTGCACTGCGGATAGACCAGAAAATTATATATTGCCCAATGACGTTGCTTTACACGTCATTTTTGGCAGTTTGTACTGGAAGATTACTGAGCCTTTGATCTTCTTCTCAAATATAAAATCTAGCAAGATCTACATACAGTCTTGTATACGGATCGCTACCTGAATTAATCTTTGCAACGATTAAAATTATCTTCTAGATTCTAGAGGATCCAAACTATCCCAGTCATTTCAACAATGCCTTAGCATCCCCTCTTCTCAGTAACATTTTATTAGTCCCGGAAGTATCGCCGCATTCGCTCGGAACAACATTCTGATTCGTTTTTCTTGCATAATCTTATTCAAAAAGGACCCGTTTTAATGAACCTGCCAGGACCAAAGTCGACTCAGAAATACAAAGCTTTTGATGAAATCTGATAGTTTCATTTTTATGTTCTATATATACAGCCTGGCGCATCGAAAACAAAACAGACGCATTTACTGGAAGCTCAGTTTTTTTTTTAAAAACGCTCAGACCCGTCGATTTTGTTTAGAAGGGGGCACAAGTTTGGCAAAAAATCACGTTAGGACGTGCAGCCCCCTAAGCGGAGGTGACACCAACCCTAAAAGCTTAAATGGAAAGGGCTCGAACTTTGTTGCTAAAATAACTTGTAACGCTTTATTAAATTAATTTACCATGGTATATTCCTCAGCAGAAAGAGTTGAAATTATCGAAATATTTTTTGGAAATAATTAGTGCGCTAATAGAACAGCAGAAATATTTAATGAGCGACATGAGAATAGTAACGTGCATCGAAAATATGTTCTAGAACTTGTAGCTAAATTTCAGGAAACTGGGCCAGTCGCCAATAAAAAAAGCAACATTGAAAATCCCATAAGGAACGAAGCATAGAAGTGGGGGTTTAGGGCAAGTTTATGTAGATCCTACGTTAAGTACCCGCAAATTGGAGACAGTGTGTGGTGTTAGTCGACGCACTGTCCAACTGATTCTAAAGGCCCATAGTCTTCATCCGTATAAAATTCACCTGGTACAAGAACTTAATGAAGACGATTTTGATCGGCTGATTACAATTTTGTGAAGATATGAGTGAACGAATTATAAACGATGAACATTTTCTATTCAACACTTGCTTTTCCAACGAATGTTCCTTTTTCTTAAATGGCGTAGTAAATCGTCATAACTGCCGATATTGGTCCGATTCTAATCCCAGAATTTATCATCAGGTTCATACGCAGCAGCCACAAAAATTAAAAGTTTGGGCTGGTATTTTTTGCGATCATGTGAAATGTATTTGGAATTACTGGAAGACGCCATAGATCCTGCATTAAGAGCAATAATTGAAAATCAGAATGATCGACGGTACATTGCGAATAGTTTGATGTTCCAACAGGATGGTGCCTCACCACATTACGCATTACGTGTTCGACAATATTTAGATGAGACGTTTCCAGATCGATGGATTTTGTAGCAGAGGTGCCATTGAATGGTCCCCAAGATCGCCAGATTTATCACCTTTGGATTTCTTAATGTGGGGTCATTTAAAAAGCAAAATACATGCTACTCAGCCAACATCATTAGAAGACCTGCGACAAAGAATTGTGAATGAGTGCCTTCAAATTACTCCTCAAATATTGCAAAATGTGCGGCAACGTTTTGGAAAGTCATGGTGGCCATTTTCAACATTTACTTGCCTAACGGGTACAGTTCATTCTTCATTTTTAAATTACTTTGCTGCAAAATGTACTGATCTCCACTAATGATGATGTATTATACTAAGTGACATATAAATCCGAACACCCAGTTTAAATGGTTTTATTTTAATAAAATTTTGTATAAGTACTTAATGAAGCATAATAAGAAAATGATAAAAATTTCAAAATGATTGCACTCCTTTAAAGCCCTTTGACCTTTAATAATGTGTGGATGCACCCTGATGTGCTACGCATTCTCCAACGCGCCTAGGCATGCTTCTGATCAGGTGGTCAATGTCCTCCTGTGGTATCTCATTCCAGGCAACCACCAACTCCTCTCGAAGTGCTTCTAGAGTCTGAGGAGGACGTTGCAAATTGAGCAATCTCCTACCCATCATATCCACACGTGCTCAATTGGGGATAAGTCGAGAGATCTTGGTGGCCATGGTAACAATGTGACATCATTATGTTGAAAGAAGTATATTGTGACTCTTGCAACATGTGGTCGGGCATTATCTTGTTGGAAAGTTGGATCTGCCAGGGTGTCAAGATAGGGTAAAAGATGGGGTTCTAGAACTTCGTGGATATAACGCTGCGCGTTCATGTTACCTCTGATGAAGATTAAAGGTGACCTGGAACCATAAGCTATAGCACCCCAAACCATAACTCCAACAGTGTGATGAACATGTCTTTCAACAAAAAACTGTGGATTCCTCCTTTCACCACGTCGCCTTCTAACCATGGCACGACCATCGTGCATGCCTAAACAAAATCGAGACTCGTCACTAAAGACAATACTGTTCCATTCCTGATCCCAGAGTGACCGTTGTCTGCACCACTCAAGGCGATTATGTCGGTGTTCTCGAGTTAAAGGGAGGACCCAGTGTGGCCGGTATGAAAACAAGCCAAAACTTCTCATTTGTCGGTAAACACTTCGCATGCCAATAGGTCTTCTGTGTTCTGCAAACCATTCATTTGCAATGGACCTGGCAGTGGAGAAACGGTCCCTTAAGGCCAATAAATAATCTTAGGCGGCGATCTTCACGGTCTGTTGTTCTACAGCGGCGTCCAGTGCCCCTTGCTCTTTGCGTACGGCCTTCTCGAAGCCATGCCTGACAATACCTAACCACAGTGTCTACACTTCTTTGCACTCTAACTGCAATTGCCCGAAAAGAAAGTCCAGCTTCCGACGTCCCACTATACGGCCCCTATCAAACTCACTAAGTTGACGAAATCGTACAGGTCTCCGTACTCTAGGCATCGTAACCGATCGTAAAGGATGTCAAGAACCAAAATCCGCCAACGTTGATTCTTTACTGCGGCTGAAATATTCATTTTTAGAGCGTTAGTGAATTACAAAAAAGCAGTATAAAAACCGGAATGTCCAACTGATAAGGCTGAAAATTTTTTCACTTGTTATTTACAGTAAGATAAATACATTCACCAACTTTTATTAAAATAAAACCATTTAAACTGGGTGTTCGGATTTATATGTCACTTAGTATAGTTTTGAAACAACAATAACAAATTACATTTTTTTTTGCTCTGAACAGTTTTTTTTTTCATTCTGAACAAAACTATACTTATTAACTGCCACTAAAGTGGCAGCTGGGGGCCGCGCCGCCCCTTTGCTGTAAGCTTTGGGATTAATTAGTGGATGACTGGAGAATATGTATTTAGGAGCGCTGGCAAAATTCTCGTTTTTTGTATGGTTTTCTTAGTCGGATATCTCAACAACTATCGTCTTTAGGGAATCGTTCATTAGCCTTTTTTGTTCAAAATGATCCAAAAAATCTAAAGTGCGAGCGGAGTCAAGAAGCATCATTAGCCCTTTTTTGTTCAAAATGATACAAAAAATCTAAAGTGCGAGCGGAGCCAAGAAGCAGTTATTTGAATTTGTTTAAAAAATTTGAAACAATTTTCGACGTCTGTCAACATGGAGATTCATTGAAAGGAATCCTTTATGAATAATAATGTTCAAAAAAAAACGAATCAGAATATTTTCCGAGCAGATACAAATATACCTCCTAGACTATTATTATATGCACTTTGCCCTTTCTTTTCGTTTATTTTCATCTTTCTCATTAGCTTTGTAAGGTCTCAAAGTAACCAGACCATCAACTCTAATTAACATTTCGTGCCAATACCAAAGGCTGCCGAATTTATTCAAAAATATGCAAAATACTTTTTTTTGTTTTAAAATCAAACAGTAGGTTTTTGCAGTAATAACTTAAGAACTGTTACGCAAGTTGGCATTGGCATATATAAAAATAGAAATTTGTGCAGTGTTTATCAACTAATTATAAATATCTTTACCAGATAACCCTAATATGTAATTCTTTCAAAGAGCTGCGTGTGGACAATTAGTTCTTTTGTTTTTGTGTTGCATGTTGTGGGCTTGTTGTCTTGGTTCACTCTGTTTTTTTCTATTTTCAAGTCGTATATTAGTGGATATATGATATATACACGTATATGTGAGTACCCGTACTACAGCAACTCTGACTGTCCTCTATGTTCACAAAATACATACAGAACATTTAACACAGCTTAAATCAAATCGTATTTTCCAATCTAAAATTATATTGAGACATAAATGGAAAATATATAACATTTCTCCTCGTACACTGGCACTACTGGCACTACCTTTGATGGGTAAATGTCAGACAATCTTGATGATAATAATTTGGTACATTTATCTTTGATGGGTTGGTATCAGACGTTAGAATTCCAAGTAAATTCGTAATCGTTTCTTAAGAAATGTTGCAATCACAACACTTTATTTTATCCAGACAGATTAATAATTATATCGTAATGACAGTCAAATACGAATTCTACAACACATTTTGATAAACCTTGTTCATTATGTTAATATGGGGCTTACTGTTTTATGATAATTAAGTAACATGGAAATAATGCAATGTGTTACATTATTATTTTGATGTGTTTTACCAGTAAGTGTAAAGTCGATAGTGTTATCCAATAATTGGATGATTCTTTTTAACCATATAACTAATAAGTATTTTTTAGTTATTTAGTTCATTTTGGAGGATGTTAGCTCCTAGCAGTATTCGCCTCCTGGAGAGTTGTAAAAATATCTGGTAAGTACAACTCAAGGTATGCCAATACAAAGCTTTTGATGAAATCTGATAGTTTCATTTTTATGTTCTATATATATAAGCGAGAAGCAAGGATAGTAGTGAACAAATTATATGGCTAGAACTGACGGGCGACGCGTAATGCGGACTACATCAGTTTGTCAGTCTCTTTTAGTGTTATTGAGCTTTTTCTAGCAATCCAATGGCTAGATTCCTTTTGTTGTTGCTATCACATAAAAGGCTGTTTCGTTTCTGAAAAATGTTATGCATTTAAACTTCACCGCCCAAAACTGTCAGAGCATATGTATCTTTTTTTATTTACTACATTTTTGGACGAAGACTAAGCTTTTAGCAGTTTTAGGACATTGACTAGGAAATATATTTCAATTCAACTTTTGCCGTAATACATGATCCCATATAGTATCCAACAAGTTTTCGTGACAGGGTATAAATACATCTTTCGACATTCGAATAAAATAAGAAAATCTCCTAGGAGTTGGTTGATTGGTCAAGTCCTTCTTTATATACTGAAACATTCAGGAAGAAAATCTTGAAAGTGAACTAAACTATATGTAGTGGATGAGTAGAATGTATAAAATTTTGTCGCCAACATTCACAATTCTTTGTCGCAGGTCTTCTAATGATGTTGGCTGAGTAGCATAGATTTTGCTTTTTAAATGACCCCACATAAAGTAATCCAAACGTGATAAATCTGGCGATCTTGGGGGCCATTCAATGGCACCTCTTCTACCAATCCATCGATCTGGAAACGTCTAATCTAAATCTTGTCGAACACGGGATGCGTAATGTTGTTGGGCACCATCCTGTTGGAACATCAACCTATTCGCAATGTACCGCCGATCATTCTGATTTTCAATTATGGCTGTTAATGCAGGATCTATGGTGTCTTCAGTAATTCCAAATACATCTCACCGGTCAAATTTCCAGGTAAGAAAAAAGGACCAACTAAATGATCGCTAAAAATACCAGCCCAATCATTTAATTTTTGTGGCTGCTGTGTATGAACCTCATAATAAATTCTGGGATTAGAATCGGACCAATATCGGCAGATATGACTATTTACTACGCCATTTAAGAAAAAGGAACATTCGTCGGAAAAGCAAGTGTTGAATAGAAAATGTTCATCGTTTATAATTCGTTCACTCATATCTTCACAAAATTGTAATCGCCGATCAAAATCGTCTTAATTTAGTTCTCGTACCAGGTGAATTTTATACGGATGAAAACTATGGGCCTTTAGAATCCGTTGGACAGTATGTCGACTAACACCACACACAGTCTCCAATTTGCGGGTACTTAACGTAGGATCTACATAAACTTGCCCTAAAACCCCCACTTCTATTGCTTCGTTCCTTATGGTATTTTCAATGTTGCGTTTTTTATTGGCGACTGGCCCAGTTTCCCGAAATTTAGCTACAAGTTCTAGAACATATTTTCGATGCACGTTACTGTTCTCATGTCGCTCATTAAATATTTCAGCTGTTATATTAGCGCACTGATTATTTCCGAAAAATATTTCGATAATTTCAACTCTTTCTGCTGTGGCAACAAAGTTTGGTCAAATCAATCGCAAACTATGTACTAAATTCCTATTCAAAATAAGTACGAGATATTTCCTTATCTTTCTTCAAGAAAACTTTTTTGCCACAAAAAAACGCTCCAATAGCTATTTTCAACAACAAAATGATAAACAAACCATGGGCGTAGTGAAGAAAAGCATTCACTTATTAAGTAAATTCTTTTAGTCAAATTTCTTCTGAAAGTAGTACAAACTAATCTGATGTACCTATTAAAGCCTACTTTAAGCTTTAAATCAATAAATCTTCAAAACTACTGAACTGAAGCTCATGTATTTTACATCGTTATAAAGAGAATTGAAAGACCTTTAAAATAAGGTATCACTCGACCCCCTTTCCATTTAAGATTTTAGGGTTGGTGTCACTCCCGCACAGGAGGCTGCAAGTGTTAACGTGATTTTTTGCCAAACTTGTGTCCCCCTCGAAAACAGAATCGACGGGTCTGAGCGTTTGTCCAAAACAACTGAGCTGCCAGTAAATGCGTCTGTTTCGTTTTCGATGCGCCACCCTGTATATGTTTTCATGTATGTTAAGTCAGATATGTATGTAGAAATGTAACTTTTTACTTATTTTGGAACATGTTTGGAATGCTTTGATTAATGTTGTTGCTGGTAAAAAGGAATTACTGGTTAGGTGTATTATATCATCCTCAATCAGAACACGTACGGTAATGTTGTCATCTATAAATGAATGAATGATTTTCTACCTTACATTATAAAAACATCGTGATTTTAATACAAATTTCCTCAATGACAAGTTATTTTCGTTGACTTTAGATCTCGGTCTTACACACAATGATACGGGTGGTACCCTACTGGCAGATAGTTCGTCTACACTTCTAGATCCTATACTCACAAATCATCCGCTAGCTTCTAGTCACTGTTAAGTTATGGATAGTTATAGATAGTATTCCAGATCACAAAGTTGTTTCTTTTCAGTTTGTGTTACCGACCTTTAAAAGAAATTTCAAACAATTAGGCTTTTATAATTCTGCTTTGAATAAAATATTCACACAGAATGATACTGATGATAAGGTAAACTATTTAACGGACATAATTATAAATACTTTCGATACACACGCACCGCAAAAAAGTATAAGGGTCAACGAGTCACCAGCACCATTATTGAATGAGGACGTACGCTCTCGTCTTGAAGAAGACAGCTCTCTTGCTCCTTACAGGTCAAGAAACACTACCGAAAATCGTAAAAATTTTAGGTTGCTTAGAAATCGTACTCCTACAATGATAAGGCATAATAAAAGCGCTTATATTCAAAGTCTAGTTATTGAAAATAATCCAAAAAACGTATGGGCATGCTTAAAACATTTAAAACATAAACTTGAGTAGAACATCCACCTTACAAACTCAGTTTGATGATCTTCATAAAATTAATGATTATTTCATGTCGTTATTGAGCAGTAAATCTGTGGATCTACAAGGATTTTAGAACTATTCGACAAATAAGTTGAATTCTCCATATATTCTTTTAATATTGTTGAGCTGAAAGGTGTATTAGAAGCAATAAGAGGTTTGAATTCAGATGTAAAAGGTATCGACGGTACAATGTTGAAATTATGCCTATCAGTATTTCGACATCACATTGTTGATAACTGCTTAAAAGAGGCTATTTTATACCAGCTTTAAGGAGAGCATTGGTTGTATCAGAGCTAAATGATCTCAAACCAATTATCCATAATTTCAAAAGTATTGGAAAAAATGGTGAACATCCAATTATCTTCATATCTTGAAAAGTACAACATTCTTCCAGGAAAAACTATGGAACAACTTCTGCTCTACTTAATATGCAGGACTATACTTTACGAGCCTTGGATAAAAAGCCTTTAGCAGTATTAACCATGAATTGTTATTACAGAAACTTAGTTACATAGGTCTTGATAAATTAACTGCGAGTTTTTCCAAAAGTTATCTTCAACAATGGATATCAATGAACCAAAAAATTCTCTTATACAGTCTTACGCAGACGCCATCCAATTGTTACACTGTTTTCATCCCAATGAAGCCTCCAATACTAATGAAACTTTTCAACATGATGTTAATCATAACCTAAAGGTTAGTCCAGGTAAATCCATACTCCTCTTGCTTTGTAATGGACAAAAGAAAAGCATTGTGCTTCCTCACTCAAAAAATCACTAAAGACAATCAAATGTTAACAGATTCCGCTAAAATCCTTGGTGTGTTATTTTTAATACCAAAAATAAGGTTTATTGAACACGTAAAGAGTCTCTGCCAAGACACTTATATTCGATTTCGTACCTTAATAGCTCATCGTTATCAACTAAATTTTAAATTACGTAAAAGACTGTGTGGGACTTCAATGTATCTATCTTGAATTTCTGTAATGTTGTGTCTTTTGTATCATTAGATTATTACATTAAAAATATTGTTCAGGTGATTCAAAGCAATTGCGTGTTGTTTGTATTCAGATTGCAGAAACTTGATCAGGTTTCAGCTAAATATCAGGTACTAAAGTGGATGAGAATGAATGATTCAGCAGGATATTATTATTTAAATTTTAGACATAAACTATTGCTAACTTCGAAGCCTCGTTATCTCAGAGAAAAAATTTATTTTTATAAGTATATACAAGGCAAATATTCAAGAAACAAAAATATTAATATCGCTCAACATCAGATATAATGGAAATTCCTGAGGCATGTGAGAAATACTTACTTCCCGTTTTCCGTTAAAAAATTAAACTTCTGTTCAATCCCTCAACCGTTTGATCATGAATGTAACATGAATTATTTTCGTATACATCATTGCTCCTCTGTATATTTTTTTAATAACCATTGTTTTGTACTTGTTCTATTTCATAAATTTCTGTATTATACTAATGTACCGCATAACGTATGTTGAGGATGGATTTCTTAAGTGTGTAAGAGTAGCGAATGCTAAGCTTCGCCAGATTACAGTTACTGCAAGTCAGTCATATCCGTTGTGGATACCGCTAGTTGAATCCACACTATATAGATGCAAATTGGTAATTTCATAGTGTTTTCCTTGAATATCCGATTTAACTTGTGACTTGAATCATGGAACAAGTTGCATACGAATCTCTATTAACCCATTCGCAGCATTGTTCCAAAATTGGAACACGCGATATTTTGGGATGTAGTTGAATAGATGGAGGCACAAGTATTAATCAGAACCATTGTTAGCAATTCACAGCATCGGGAGCACCTGTTTTCAGTAAACTTTTTAGGTTATATTACGGCAGTAAACATACCAGTGCAGCTAGGTTATTTTATTTTTAACACAATTTTTTGTGTTATTACTGGCGCGTAAACAATACAAACTGCTGAAAAATTGAAGTTCTCTATAAACAGAAGCAAGGTCTGGCTATTGTTTTATTGGTAAGTTTGAGTAAAATAAGTATCTTTTCTCATTTGTACCTTCTATCGTCACATTTTGTTATGTTCCAATAATGGAACATGGCTACTTCTATTGCACTTTTGTATTTATTTTAGGTTATGGATTGCAAAACCTTTTACGGTAAAAAATCCACCTGTTCAACCAGTTTGAACCGACTCATTGACAAACTGCATGAAGAACACTTTGAATCAGCTAACATATATATACTATAAGTCCACCAATGGAGGATTCTGAGGGCGACTCTGAAGCCTCAGGAAATGAAAATGAAGGGGATTTTTGTGAGAAATTTTCTCAAAAAATATTAGGTGCACCAGCTGAAGCTACTCTTGTATCACATGGCAGTAAGCAGCATCAAGAATCCAGCAGTGATGACGATGAGCCTTTAGTAAAATACGTACCCAAAAGCAAAAAATTCAAGTCAAAGTCAAAACTGGAAAACTGGTATCAGCAAGACTTACCAAACTCTGTGAATCTGAATAATGTAATAGAATCTGACACATATAATAACCTGGTTTCAAAAGCAAATCCTATTCAATTTTTCGAATTATTTTGGACTGATGCTTTTTTTGAAAACATAAAAGAACAAACTATATTGTATGCTACCCAGAAAAATGTAAACACATCTTTTACTGTGACCGTGGAAGAACTAAAGGTTTTTTTCTCAATTTTGCTAATTTCTGGTTACTCTAAAAGGCCCAGGAAAGATATGTATTGGAGTATGGACTCTGATCTTCTCAATGAAGCGGTTGCTAAGGGGATGTCAAGAAATAAATTCCGAGATATTTTGAGAAATTTGCACTTTGTAAATAACACTCAGCTGCCAGCCAATGACAAATTTGGGAAAGTAAGGCCACTGATCAACCACATAAACACTGTTTTTCTACAGCATACCCCTCTTACTCAAACCACATCAATATCTGTTGACGAATCAATGGTACCATACTATAGTCACCACAGTTGCAAGCAAAGAATTCAAGGAAAGCCTATTAGATATGGGTTCAAATTTTGGTCTGCAAATGTATCAAACGCTTATCTTGTGAACACTGAACCATATCAAGGCAAGGAACAATATTAGGAGATAGTGACCTTGGCCTAGGAGCATCTGTTGTTTACACCTTTGCAGAAAAATTGAAACAGCGATTTCCAGATCAAAAATTTAACTTCGTTATAGATAACTTTTTCACGGGTCTTCCACTGATAAAAAAATTAAGTGAAATGGATTTTGGATGCACAGGTACGATCCGGCAAAACAGACTAGAAAAATGTCCTCTAAATAAATCTGCAATGAAGAAATCGCATAGGGGTTCTATGGACTCATACGTTAATTCAACTAAAGAAGTTATTGTTATGCAATGGAAAGATAACTCCATAGTCCATGTTGCTTCAAACTGCTTTGGCTTGCAGCCCACAAAAGCAGCACGCCGTTATTCTGCTGCTGACAAAAAATATATTATGGTAGAGATGCCTCATGCTATTCAGCAGTACAATACTAATATGGGTGGTACAGATTTAATGGATAGAAATATTTCTAATTATCGCCCGCAACTGCGTAATAATAAATGGTGGTGGCAAGTTTTTATACATCTTTTATGCGCTTCGGTCTCTAATGCTTGGATCTTATACAGAATCTCAAAAGATGAGAAAAAAAGAAATCTAGTGCTGATGAAATTCATGGACAGTTCTCGTTCTCTTGATTTACTTGACTTTATCAGATACATTGTATCAACATATTTACTTCCGAGTCCCAGAGCACAAAGACAAGACGGAGCTATATTTCTAAAGGTTCCTGAGGCAGTCTCCAAGAATATGTCTGTTTTGCACTACCCAAACTCCATGAAACAAAATAGATGGAAAGTTTGCAAAAAAAATACTACATTTGGTTGTGGTATATGTATGATTAATGTACATCCACTCGATTGTTTTAAAATATTTCATCAAAGTGCATCTTCGTAGTGTATAAAATAAAAATAAATGTTATATGGATACTTTAGTTTATTTTTTAATAATTAGCCAACAAGACCCTTATGACGCCAAGTTCCAAATTTGGAACATTTTTTTTTTCGCCTGTGGCGATTGTAAATGTTCAAAAAGATTTTTTTTACTATTTTTCCACATACAAGCTGCCTAGGTATTACAGAAATAAGTTGGCCGTATTTAACTCCAAAAAAGTACCCGTAGGAGAATTGTGAATTATAGACGTACTTTTTTCACTTTATTCGAATGTCTAAAGCTGTGTGTATAGTCCACCGACTATGCATCCATTAACATGAATTACCACACATATTATACCATCAGTTATAGATGGAGAAGTACCGTCGCTCACTTGAAGTACAAAACAGATCTCCCCTTACAATCGAAAACCATAGGTCAGTTACTGGAAGAGTGCGCCGAAAAATTCAGCGATAGAGCAGCCATCATCGCCAGAGAACAAAGAAGGCAACTGACTTTTCCAGAACTTCTGGATGAGGCTGATCGGTTTGCAGCTGGCTTAAGGGCAATTGGGTTGAATTATGGAGATAAAGTTGGAATATGGGCGCCAAACTTAATAGAATGGCTTATAGCTAACGTGGCTTGCACTAGAACAGGACTTCCAGTGGTAAAAATTTTACTTGCATGTAAAACAAAGAATACCAACAAAACGCTCAAGCGCATAATTGATCTACATATTATTTAAAATTGATCTTTATAGGTGGCTCTGAACCCTGCATTACAGTCTAGAGAAGTTGAATACTGTATCAATAAAATTAACGTGAAGTGTATAATTTGCCCAGCAGAATCAAAACATTATAGCTTCAAATCGGTATTGAATCAATTGCTACCTGATTTGGAGCATGCAGATAAATGGAAATTGGAGTGCAGTTCATTACCGTCTCTCGAAAAAGTGATACTTATATCAGAAGATAGTTTAAGGTTTGTATATCTCGAAAGTTTTCGGTATATTTTAGCGCCAAAGGTGGAAACAAAACCTCGAACATGTTTTTGAAAAATAGACCTCAATTTATCAAAAACGTTCTTTTGTTACACTGCGAAAAAAGTTTCTTTAAACTAATTAAAATTTTAATTATGTCAATTAACATACCTGTATGTAGCTAACCATGTGTCAGCTATCAAGTTTAATTAGTCTAGTTAAGCTCCGATTCCTAAAACATATTACCTGAATCTAATAAACTACATTAATTAAACCAAAACGCAATCGCCTAATTAAATTTATTAAACCTTTTACTTAGATTGAGTACGCATATTTATTCAAAATTATTGAACTAATAAAATGATTTAACCTGCTCTAAGTAAAACAATTTATTTTTATATATATGTTACCGGTAATCTGTACAATTCAGGTATTCTAGACAAAACCTAGGTCATGTATATCTGGATTGCCCAGGCAATGTATGGAATACTATGAATATTATTATCCATTACACACTTCACCTAGGTAATGAATACAGTTCCTAGGGATTATATAGAGTACCTGCTATTCCACCGGCAATGTATAAAATAAATAATCTTGGTCTAAATTTATCAATGTTAACCGGCATACCTATAAAATGACGGACAAATGAAACAATCTATAGTATTTAAAATCAACTTTATTAAAATAAAAAATTAGAGTGCTCGTTAAAAATAAGCTTTATGGAAAGGGTATAAAAAAGCACCTTTCTGTTACTAGAGTAAAATCACAGTCAAATTAACGCGAAACTAAAAATTATAACTAACTATAAGTATGAACAACCCGTTCCTTGCTCTGGTCTTTTACATAAATTACCGGCTACGCATTCGGTATTGTATAGAATACCTAGGCAAAGTATAAAACAAATAAGACGAGGGATGTCTTTTAAGTTTTGCATATAGAAACATAGAGGCCGCGCGGATCGAACGTCAGTACTGAATCTTAACCTCACTGTTTAGTAAACTTAAATTCAAAGTTTCACAACAATACTTGCAGTGTTTTCACTACAGTAAATTTTTAAGTGTCACGAAGTCATTACAAAAATGGAACTCAAGCGAGAACATTTTCGCGCCATAATTTATTACAACTTTCAGCGAAAATTATCGCAACAAGAATGCCTTGCTGATTTAGTCTGTTTTCGGCATCGAAGCGCCACATCAGTCGACAATTTCCCGTTGGTATGGAGAATTCAAACGTGGACGGGTAAGTCTTAGCGACGATCCCAGGGTGGGTGCACCAAAAACGGCAGTCACCCAGGAGAACGTCGATGCTGTGCGCAAACTCATCATTGAAGATAGACATGTGACATATCGCGAGATTGAGGCGTCCTTGAAGATCTCAAAGACCTCAATTCAAAAAAATTTACATGAAGAATTATGAGTTAGAAAATTAGTTTCTCGTTGGATACCGAACCTGTTGAGTGAAGAGCAGAAAGCAGCCAGGGTTAATTGTTGTCAAAAAACGCTTGACCGTTTCAATTCCGGAAACTCAAAAAATGTGTACCTACAGCATTGTTAGTGGTGATGAATCGTGGAGTTACTGTTATGAACCAGAAAATAAACGACAGTCGGCTGGTTGGGTGTTCCAAGGTGAAGAAAAGCCAACAAAAGGCATCCGTTCTCGAAGTGTTTCGAAAAAGATTGTCATGACATTTGTGTCAAAAGCGGGTCATATTGCAACAATTCCTCTTAATGAGCAAAGAACTGTTACTGCGGTTTGGTATACCACCATTTGTTTGCCAAAAGTCATCACCGAGCTTCGAAAAATCAACCCCGAAAGAAGAATCATCCTCCACCAAGACAATGCAAGCTCGCACACAGCCCAAAATACATGTCAGTATTTAACGGAAGAAAACCTGAAATTAATGGACCATTCTCCACGTGGTCCCGATCTAAGTCCTAACGATTTCTTTACTTTCCCGAAAATCAAAAACAGACTGCATGGTCAAAGGTTCCAGTCACAACAAGAAGCAGTTAACGCATTCAAAAATGCCGTTTTGGATCTGCCAGCAAACGAGTGAAATAAGTGCTTCGAAAATTGGTTCGAGCGCATGCAGATGTGTATTAATCTTCGTGGAGAATACTTCGAAAAACAATAAAGTCATTTAAAACTACCTACCCTGTTGTTTTGTTTCCATATGCAAAACTTAAAAGACATCCCTCATATTTCATATATTACCTACACGCTTTAGGTTTTCTAGGCGTTACCTAGGTATTGTTTGGAATACCGGATTATACAGATTGCCGGTAACGTATATATATACAGGGTGTCCCAGAAGTCGACGTCAAGCCGAAACCGGGTGATAGGCAAAGTCATAACAGCTATCAGAAAAATATTTAAAAAAATTTTATGTATATGTTTTGAAAATTATAGGTCATTGAAAAAAATATAGAAATTTCACACCCTACGGCAGTCTGTCAACTCCTGTTACTACAAATATTAACTTTTTTTGATTTTATTTTTACAATGTAATGATGAATAATGCATCTTCACACTGGTGTCTCAACCTTACTGCCAACTTTTCTCGTTCAGGAAAAATTGCCACTTATTTACCAACCAAGTATTCCAAAGTAAAACTTTGCTCAACTTTAACTGGCTGTACTGGAAAAAAATATACTACGAGAGTTTGGCAAGTAACCTTAAAAGTTGACGCATTTAATCAGGATTCCAAAATGGTATAACACTTAGAAGATTACTCGTTAACTTATGCACAATTTTTATTTGAAGAAAAACTGATGAAAATTTTTCAAAATTTCCTAATTAAACAGCGATTATGAAAACGCACAAGGGCCCTTAAGGATAACTGTTTGCACAACAGTGGGCGTCAAAATGCTGCTGATGATGATTTACCTTTACAGCAAATGCTCAAACTGTTTTCCTTCAGCCGCAATACACGCTCGACATCTTCTTAAAAAAGATCGGGTTATTAAACGAGCGAATCCACGATTATTAACAAACTCAGCTGCTTCCAATAGTCTTTGCCGGAGCTCAGCTACATTTTGAATAGGCTTGAAATACACTTTTTCTTTTACAGTTCCCCAGTAAAAAAAAATTTAACGGATTCAAATCTGGTGACCGGGCTGGCCACGGTATTGTACCAGACCGCCCTATCCATCTGCCTGGAAAGTTTTGATCGAGATACTCTCTCACTAAGAGTGCATAGTGCGCTGGGCAGCCATCATGCTGAAACCACATGTCCCTGTAAATACTCAGTGACACGTCCTCCAATAAATTTTCTAAATGATTTTACAAAAAAACCCAAATAAACCTCAGCAGTCAAAGTCTCTGGGAACTCAAACGGACCGATTATTTTACCATTTAAAATTCCTGTCCAATGGTTTATCTTGAAGCGATATTGAGATTTATCTTCTCTCATCAAATGTGGGTTTGCTACGTGCCACTCGTGTAAGTTATGCAGGTTCATGTACCCATCTTTCTTAAATGTGGTCTCATCTGACCATAAAATTTTTTCAAAGAACCGTGGATCTTCCCTGTGTCTTTCTAACATTGTGCGACAAAAAGCAACTCGGGGCTCATAATCCCGGGGCAGAAGAGCTTGAACACGCTGTACGTGGTATGGATGGAGCACGTTTTTTTGGAAGATTCTATGGGCTGTACTTTTGGGCACACCTGTTCTATTGCACGCAGTGAAGTACTCGGGTCTTCTTCGACAGCTCCTAGCACCATGTCTTCGTAAGGAAGGAAAGATCTTCCCTCACCGTGTGATTGGTTTGGTGTTGGCCCTCTGAGAACAGTAAGCGCTGCACATTTGTGAACACTCGACGATCTAGATGACGAGCTGCATTCGGGTACCTCTCACAGTAAAGTCTCGCTGCAGCACTAGCGTTGCATCTGCATTCCCCATAAATGAGGTGCATGTTAGCATATTCTTGTACGGTGTACACGGACATAGCGGCACTGCACAATCACACTATCAAAGATAGTCTAAGGAAAGCAAATGTTGTTTTGAAGAGCAATTAAACAGTCCAAATCCAAATCACAAGCTATCAACAGTCCAGTTCACGAATCCAAAATTAGTAACAGTACGAAATCAACAAGCACGAACATGTAAAGATGCGCAGTAAACGAAGGAGTACTGATCGGTATCAAAGTGTGCAATAGCAAGTAAGTGATGTGCTTCATCCATACCACATACAGCGTGTTCAACCTCTCCTGCCCCGGGATTAGGAGCTCCGAGTTGCTTTTTGTTGCACAATGTTAGAAAGACACAGGAAAGATCCTCAGTTCTTTGAAAAAATTTTATGGTCGGATGAGACCACATTTAAGAAAGATGGGTACATGAACCTGCATAACTTACACGAGTGGCACGTAGCAAACCCACATTTGATGAGAGAAGATAAATCTCAATATCGCTCCAAGATAAACCATTGGACAGGAATTTTAAATGGTAAAATAATCGGTCCGTTTGAGTTCCCAGAGACTTTGACTGATGAAGTTTATTGGGATTTTTTGAAAAATCATGTACAAAATTTATTGGTGGACATGCCACTGACTATTTAAAGGGACATGTGGTTTCAGCATGATGGCTGCCCAGCGCACTATGCACTCTCAGTGAGAGAGTATCTCGATAAAAACTTTCCAGGCAGATGGATAAGGCGGTCTGGTACAATACCGTGGCCAGCTACAAGCTACGGCAAAGACTATTGGAAGCAGATGAGTTTGTTAATAACCGTGGATTCGCTCGTTTAATAACCCGATCTTTTTTAAGATGTCGAGCGTGTATTGCGGCTGAAGGAAAACAGTTTGAGCATTTGCTGTAAAGGTAAATCATCATCAGCAGCATTTTGACGCCCACTGTTGTGCAAACAGTTATCCTTAAGGGTCCTTGTGCGTTTTCATAATCGCTGTTTAATTAGGAAATTTTGAAAAATTTTCATCAGTTTTTCTTCAAATAAAAATTGTGCATAAGTTAACAAGTAATCTTCTAAGTGTTATACCATTTTGGAATCGTTATTAAATGCGCCAACTTTTAAGGTTACTTGCCAAACTCTCGTAGTACATTTTTTTCCAGTACAGCCAGTTAAAGTTGAACAAAGTTTTACTTTGGAATACTTGGTTGGGAAATAAGTGGCAATTTTTCCTGAACGAGAAAAGCTGGCAGTAAGGTTGAGACACCAGTTTGAAGATGCATTATTCATCATTACATTGTAAAAATAAAATCCAAAAAAAGTTAATATTTGTAGTAACAGGAGTTGACAGACTGCCGTACGGTGTGAAATTTCTATATCTTTTTCAAAGACCTATAATTTTCGAAACACACACATAAAATTTTTTTAAATATTTTTCTGATAGCTGTTATGACTTTGCCTATCACTCGGTTTTGGCTTGACGTCGACTTCTGGGACACCCTGTATATACAGAGTGACTTTGAAGTTGAGTCATTAATTTTCAGATAATGATTGTAGAAGGAAGATAAACCAAAATATGTGTGTAAAAATAAAAAAAAATAAAAAAAAAATGTTTACCTTGTTTTATAAAGTATCCTCCCGACAAGTATTTCAGTGCGTACCTGTATTTGATCGTGAGGTCCCCTGTGAGGTCTTAAGTCACTTGATTCACGAGCCCGTTGTACTACATTAACAAAGGCACGAGGGGTTGGTTGCACTCGATTGGGAAACCGATCCGCATAAACATGTGCCATTTTTTATTTCGTTTGAGCCACGCAACAGACACTATTCACACGCCTTACCGACTGGCACTGAGTGTATGTATAACTGAACTGAAGGAAATAATTGTAAAACATCGTTCCAAATTCTTTCGCTTTTTTGTTTCCGATGCGATGAACCGAGGCGGATTATATCCGTTGTTGCCAAACACGAGCACATGACATTACGAGTATTATTGAACAGGGCGGTACTCAAACTTCCAAAGGGCTATAGCTTTGTTACTTTAATTTTACCAGAAAAATGGTAAAGGAAAAAAACATTTCTTTTGATCAGATCTACTAACTGTTAAAATAAATGACTCAACTTCGAAGTCACCCTGTATATATATGTAGGTAATATATAGAATACCTAAAACGTGTAGGTAATGTATGAAATATTATTTGTTTTATACTTTGCTTTACTACAAAGTCTGCAGCAACAGAAGGCTCCGCATCCTATACATACAATAAAAAAAGCACACCAAGCCTATGTTAATTACATGTTCGGTATACATGTATTATTGACCTAAATACGGCCAAATAAAATTTCAAAGTTCCTCCCATTCCGACACGTCAGCAGTGTTTCTCCTATACAGAGTATTTCGATGGGAGCAAGAAATATTCTAACCATGGTTTTGGATCACTAAGCACCTTATGCTCGAGTGTTTCACTTCACACCACAACTGAATCCACTTCACAACTACTTCACGCTTCACCAACAACGCGAGCATTCGAGTATCAAGCCCTCGCGAAAATTACAAATTAAACTGAGGAGTTTCGCATACTCCCGATCATTCACAATTGAAGGGCCGAGTCCTGCTGGGTCCTCAGTTCAAATGAACAGTTTAACCGTTTTTATAAAACTGTTTAATTATTTCAAACGAACCTTTTCTACATAAACTAAATTCGCTAGACTAATTAAACAGTTTATTAAAACAAGTACATGGTCTGTTATTTTTAGGCGAATAAGTTTAATAGTATATTACTTTCGATTAAGCTGGTTACAGAAAAATCAGTTTAATTAAACCGAATAATTTAGTTGCCTAGAACAATTAAAATATTTATTATGGTTAGTGAAAATTTTCCAAAACTGTTTAATTGTCCACGTTTTTTCAGTGTATAAGAGTGGCCAGCACCAAGCATGAGAAATTAAAACTAAATTAGTCTGTTGATGAACATGTATAAAATAAGTGATTTTAGGAATTCTGTACAAATGTATAAATGATAAGGTGATGTTTTTAATAATAAGGCTACATCATTCTACTGCCATTATATTCGGAACAGTTGAGACCACCAATTTTGTATATTTTCAGCAACCCACCAATTTAGTTTTAAATCCCTTTGGCAATTCTATCAATATCAGATAAATTTCTGACTTACATAAATTAAGAGTTGCTCATTTGCCAATGCCTTTTAGAGGAGCATTTACCTACAACGACGTTATGAATATGCCCGATGCTCAATCTGTGAAGTCAATCAGAGATTATCAAAAGAAGGTTGATATCCATAGCGTTATGAATATCCAGTTTACATCGGTAAGCTTTTAAAACACAAATACCGTGCATTCACTGAACTGTGTTTTCGCCATAAATATAGAACTAGGGAAAATGATTGAAAAGGAAAATACTGCTTTATAATGTATTTTTGTATGTATTGACCTGACGATGTAAGTCTAGTATTTAATGTATTTTCCAGGGGACGACAGGCTTTCCAAAAGCCATACCAAGAACACATTTCCAAACAGTAAACAATTCGTATTTTGTGGGTAAGCGGATGATGTTGAACGAAAAACATCACATATTTTGCTGGCAAGTTCCTAACTTTCACGCTTTCGGACTGATAGTAGGCACAGCAGGTTGGCATAACGGATCTACAATTGTATATCCTTCCATACATTATAGCCCAGAAAAATCTTTGGAATCAATTAATAAAGAGAGGTAATTGCATGAATAAAAAAGTACAAAGATGGGCGTTGAAGAAGTCCTCCAATGTAGCCGAAACGTCGCTAAAACTTACCTCACCGACACGTATCGTATTTTACACACCGTTAGTGGTTTTTACATATCATACATATTAGGAATCCTCCTTTTCCTTTTATCATGAGTGAATGAAATGTATCATGTAGGGAGAAAATTAATACAACTTCACTGATATCTTTTAGATGCACAACTTTATTGGGAACCCCAACTATGTACGTTGATCTTATAAGGGAACAAAGCACAAGAAATGAAGATATTAGTCCAGATTTTGCATTGACTGGTGGTGCCATAGCTTCTCCCCAGCTTGTGAAAGACATGCAGAGTGTCCTAAATGTCAAAACAGTCCAAGTGAGTGATTTCAACTTAAAGGATTAGGGACCGTAAGCGCGTTTTTGGCGCTGAAAAATCTCTACCAAGTTTAGCGTATCTATGAAAGGTTTGCACCTAAATAATATTAATATTACAGAAAGAATGTATTTGAAATGTTCAGCAACATTCATTTATTATAGTACTTGATTGTTCTTCAAAGGTCCAAAGTTCACCATATTGACAATCTTTTTTGTCCAAAATTCACCCATTTTCGAAATTTAGCGTACTATTCTTATATGAGCGCATGGTTGCAACACTTCCTACTTCGAATCACACTGTGACACAAAACTGTAAGTGAAAGTGTTTCATTAGTACGCTCACAATAAATGCAAAAGGTGAGACAAATGAATACACAATTACAATGCGTCTTCAACTTTTGTTTTTATTGTGAGCGTAGTGGCCCAACAATTTCATTTTTATCACGCTTGTATAAGCTTGGCTTGTATGTATATATGTATGTATGTAATGGATTCTTTGAGAATATTTTTTACCAATTTCCAGAAGTTTGATTAATTTGAAACTTCGCACTCGTATCAAGGACCGATGACAATGCAGTAACATGACACGTGCATGAAAAACTAATTGATAAATCGAACTAAAAAATGAAAAATAAATAATAGTTTGAAATAACTAAAAAACCACGCTTTTATAGCTAACCTGACTAAATAGTAGAATATAATTTTTAAATACAAAGAGTTTATATTACATTAGTAGATGGTCGAACAATCAATCAAAATTAATGTCCTCAAAATAAAATTATAATAAAATTTAAGTTATCAATAGAATAATTCAATTCAGAGTAAAAAGCGTGGGGTGCATTTTACTGCATCATCATAACTCTCCTCTCACAGATAGTTGCCAATAGAATGATTGTAACATTTAATATATGAAGCCCCCACGCTTTTTACTCTGAATTGAATTATTCTGTTAATAACTTAAATTTTATTATAATTTTATTTTGAAGTCATTGATTATGATTGATTGTTCGACCATCTACTACTGTACCTATTAGAAACTCTTTGTAATTAAAAATTATTTTCTACTGTTTAGTTCGGTTAGCTATAAAAGCGTGTTTTTTAGTTTTTAAACTATTATTTATCATATATGTTTTGTCACAGTGTGTGTAATCATAGATTTGAAGACTAAGGCCCGTATCGTCAGTCGTCCCTACAATTGTAGGGCGCGTTTATGGCCTCCTTGATTGTCATACTCCTTTCTCTCCTTCAAAAATTTCTAGATTACACTTGTCCTGTGTCAGCGTCAACGCTCTCCTATTGTGAAGATATGTTTTCTTTTTAAATTGTAGGAAATTTCAGGCTGATAAAACATGATATAACTCAAAAGCAAGCACAATTTGATGCAAATAGATGTTTGTGACATAACCTCAAAATAGAGCGCTGACACGGAGAAGTAGAAAACTATGACAATCAAGGAGGCCATAAACGCGCCCTACAATTGTAGGGACGACTGACGATACGGGCCTAAATCAAGCTTTGCTTACATAACTCTAAATTTCAACATATTCTTTTAATTCTAGTCACTGTATGGACTTACTGAATCCCTTGCTGCATTCTTTTCATTGCCCGGGGAAAGCCCTTCAGAGGTGTACACAACAGTAGGTCATATAGTAGAACACACAGAAGCTAAAGTAGTAGATAGTAACAAGAAAACAGTTGACTTTGGTGTACCTGGAGAATTATGCTTGAAAGGAGCTGCTATTCTAGATGGATATTTAGGTGATGATAAGAAAAATGAGGAATCTTTCGATGAAGAGGGATGGTTCTATACTGGGTAATCAAATCAATCGGACATTTCAAAAGCCACCTAAGTCACATATTTTCCAAAATACTTTTTTTTGCTGGAAATGCTTCCTTCACAGTTGTTACGTATTTTAGGCATAAGTCATCCTCGTAAGTCAATACAGTCCTTACCAACCAAATAATACCGCGTTACACACGCTCACAAGTCACTTGACTTAAGCAGCTCCTGCATACACCTCTCGACGACGGGTGCTTAAATGGGTCATGTCAAAAATTGCACCAGGATCATTGATTTCTTTTATTTTAATGTTTATGTGCTATATACACTAAAATATCAATTTTGAATTCACTAACAACAACAATAACATTTCCGCATGCATTTCAAAAACTGCACGGCGTGCGAAAAAGTGACTGCGACTACATATTTTAATGTCACCGACAGGGTTATTAAGTAAAACACCTATTCAGCGCATCCCAAAAGACATGGAGCAATCGGAAGGGGATCATAGAGAGAGTTATTTGCAATCAGAAAAACTATGTACCTATGTCCTTATCCAATTGTGAACGGTTTTTGAGTTATCGCCATTTTTAAGAATTTGTGGAAAATCGCTACTTTTGAGACTGTACTATTTTTTCAGAAGTTGTCTAGTTATTTTTCAATCAGACTTACATGATATTTTCTCAAATGATGTGTCGCTGGAAAAAAGTTGTCAATGAAATTTTAGTCCAGTTTATGTACGTACAGCAATCGGCTAATCTGCAATTTCATCGGTTGTCCTGTACAAAAAATTAGTAGGCGGATAAAGTACCCATAGTGATAAAAACTTCTCGATACTATGGCCTTTCAGAATACTTATTAGATAATCAAATACCCTAGTTTCAGCGCAAAGTAGGCAAAATGCAGGTACCTCAAATCCAGAATTTCACATTTTTTAAACTTAATCCTTTAACTGCCATCGTTGATCTTTTTCCTCCCAAATAGGATACTTATATAGGGTGTTCATTTGAAAACGTCCCACCAAGGATTGATCAAAAGCCACTAATTAAAACAAAAACCGCCGAGACACCTCAAAAGACTTGTCAAGGGGGACAACTTTTTAACCAAAAACTATTTCACCCCCTGCCCCCCAGGGGCATCCCCTTAAAAATTTTAAATGACAAGGGGTATCGAGTAATAGCTTGTTTGAAAAGTCTTCCGAGGTCCTTTATTTTGACGTTTGATTGTTTAAAATAGGTCAATTCGTATTCAAGAAAATTAGAAAAATCTTTATCTATCTTAATTTGTTCAGATAGAAAACAAAAACACACGTAAATATCACTTTTTATTTCAATAAGTGTTCAAAATGTTGCCGTTATTGGCCAAATAATGATATAGGCGATGTTTAAATTCCTGACGCACATGTTCAAAAACATGTCCATGGCAGCTTTCGATGATGCGTTGACGAAGTTCATCCAAACTTTCAAATTGGGAAGTAAACACAACAGATTTCGAATGGCCCTATATAAAATGTCTAATGGCGTCAAATCAGGAGATCTAGCTGGTCATAGGCCCTCTTCACCCTATCAATTTATCTGGAAACTCGTCTTCTAGCCATTGCCGAACCGGAAGAACGTAGTGAGCAGGAGCGCCGTCTTGCTGGAAATATATTTCAACCTCTTCAAGCATAGGGTTTCCATCCTCTTCGTTTTGGTTTTCAATGATTTCAGTGATAAGCGGATTGATGGTATTTTCCAATTTATCCAAATAAATGTCTCCATTCAAATTCCCATTAATAAGCAATGGCCCAATCACTTTGCTTCCTAAAATGCCTGCTCATACATTATTAATTTTTGGAGGGTGCTGAGTGTGCCCTTCTACAAAAGCATGAGAATTTTCTTTGTCTAATACCTGCAGTTACGCTTATTAACAAATCCATTTGGATAAAAAGTGCATTCATCACTGAAGCAGATATTCTTTACACGAATGGTATTATCATTAATCGCTGTCATTTGTTCACAAAACTCAACTCGCCTATCGAAATCATCTTCGGTTAACTCTTGCAATATTTTCATACTGAATGGATGGAATTTATGGCGTTTAGTAACTGTGTGTACAGCACCTAATGAAATACCAGTAGCAGCAACAATTTTGCGTAATGAAGTATTAGGATTTATTTCAAAATGACCCAAAACTTCAACTCGAGGGGCTTCATTAAAAACTCTCCGATGATCACGTTTTTTATTTGCAACTGATCCAGTTTGAGTAAATTTAGTAACAAGGTCCAAAACATACCTATGCGAAGTTATCTTCCCCGGATCTCTGGCGTTAAACGTGACGGCAGTTTGCCGAGCACACTGATTTTGGGCACCATAAATTACAATCATTTCCACTCTTTCTGCTAGTGTGTAAACCATTTTGAAAGTAAAATCTGAATCAATAAATTAATTTACACTATCCCAAGATTGTCACAAAGGTAACTGACAGCAAATTAAATTCTTTCTTTCCCTTAACAACAAATAACTAAAGAGATATAACAATAAATAAAGTTCGCGCCCAGGATATTTGTGTTGACAAATCTTTTAATCAATAGTTTTCGATAGATACGTGGTGGGAAGTTGTCAAATGATCACTCTGTATAACAATAAATCTTCAAACCTCAATGAATTCTGGGTCTGATCATTGCAAAGGATCGCGACCTTGACATTATTTTGAGTGTTGAAAGAGTAACTGAAACAGTGCAGCATTACCTAATCCGAAGCTTATTTTCTAAGAAGTGGGGTCTACCAAAGTTAAGGCTGGACCACTTACAACAACAGGTTCGGAGTCAACTTATAGGCTGGGCTAGTGAGTGGCCAATTAATTGGCCCATTTGAACTACCAGAGAGATTATGTGTATTTGAATTATATAAGCCTGGTAATTGGTTTACAGGATTAGGTAATGCTGCGCTGCTCCCTGACTGTTGGGACACCCTGTATAGTGTCAAAAAAATCGGTTAAATGTCAACGTGTCCACTAGGTAGCCGCTAGTTCATTACGGGCCTAGTACAAGTGAGCATAAAGTTATGTTACTTATATCAAACAACAGCCACTGGACTAACCGGAATGAAGGGCACGTCACTACCAGCCTCCGATCACGTCATCAAATGATATAAATTGTTTGCCTGTTCACCTGATGACCACTGAAGATCACACCAATCGAAACGTTGTGAATCAAAAAATCTTATAGAAACTGGAATTTCAAACAACAACAATATATTGTTGTTTTTTTTGTTACGCGGTAGAAAAGATATTGTTCCTAACTCTTCCGAAAAGTGTCTTTTCGGCACTCGACGGCTTCGCGTCGTTCAGCTAAATGCATGCTGCAAAGTATGTAACTATTATCTTATCCGCTTTGCCCGAAAACATTTGTATAACTGCGATGGCCCTTCAAATATACTTTACATATTCTAAAAAGATGTTGGTATAGGTAGATTAAAAAGGGAATTATGTACACTCACAATACCTATCTTGCAAAATCTTTTTCTTTTTTTGTTTTAATAGTACATTTTATTATCTAGTCGGACGATCAAGCCTACGTAATTTTTCAGGATGGCCGATTGATGGTTTGTATGTAAAATGGAAAATTCCATTTTCCTGGGGTATTCGCTGTGCCTATGTATCTTATAGATATACAGGGTGGGCCATAAAGGTGTTGACAATTTCAATATTCAATTAAAAAATAACTACGCAATATAAAAGAAAAATAAATGTATTTTTAAAAAGTAGAAAGATAAGAATTTTTAAGACTTAAAAATAATGTTGTTCAAATGACTTCCTTCGTTGAAAAGTTGTTCTCGGTATTTTATTACTTTCCTGAACAATATTCCTCTTCAGCTGCTCTAAATTAGTTGGAATATTCTCGTACCACCGATTTGAGGTAGCCCCATAGGAAATAATCGCATGAAGAAAGATTGGGGCTACGCGGTGGCCATTCAATATTCCCCTTTTCGAAATGAGTTTTCCGGGAAAGACATTTTTCAGCAGCTCTATAGATACCCTAGCTGAATGACATGTGGCCCTATCTTGTTGAAACCACATTCTGGAAGTTGCCTTGGAGTTCTTGCAAAGCTGACACCAAAAAGTCTGTTATATTGCAATAATTATTAGCTTTAACTGTCATCGCGCACCCTCTTTCATCTTCAAAAAAGTACGGTCCAATAATACCAGTTGACGCAATTCCAGCCCACACTAGATTAGAGCTGTGAAGTGGACGTTCATGCAAGCGTCGGGGATTAGTTTCGGTCCAGAACCGGCAATCTTGTTTGTTAACATGGCCATTGAGGTGAAAATTGACCTCATCACTAAACATCCCGTTGTTAAAACTGTTGAATCGGTAAAGCATCAAATTGACAAAGTTAAGTCGGTTATTGGCATCATCTGGTTTTAATTCTTGGACTAGTTGAATCTTATAAGCCTTCAAATGCAAATCACACTTCAAAATTCGCCGCAAGCTCGTTCTTTTGATGTCCAAAGCCTGACTTCTCTTACGTGTTGACTGTTGCGGATTTCGCTGTACTGAAAGACGAACACACTCTACATTGTCGGCTGATATTGCAGAAACTGGACGACCACGAACTGTTATTGCTACTGTCGAGCCGGTTGTTTCAAATATGCTGATCCATTTCCGTATCACATTGGTGCTTAGAACTTCTTTTAAATCGCGTACACCGTGTTCATGTCGATACAAACGTCGTGCAGTATTAACAGATTTATTGTTTTCATAGTACGCATGGACACAAACCGCACGCTGCGCTCCCGTGTACGGCTCCATGGCGACTAAATTTCCAGGCAACGGCGCGGCTAACAGCGTATCCCCCCCTCCAACCCGCGCCCCGCGTTTCCGAAAAATTTAAGATTTAAATCGCCAACACTCTTATGGCCCACCCTTTACAAACGTCCAAAATTAAAACGTGTGCCATGTTAGTTAGTCATTACTTACGGGCAAATTTCAATAATAAGCAATAAAAATAAGATCAATATCGTTCTCTTGCTTAAGTTATATACCACTGACCCTATTTCTTGCTAAAACATACATAAGTCAAAAAAAGCTGTTTCCGATTGTTATTAATAAATTGTGAAGGTTATTCGACATTTCAATCCTTTAAAAACTTCAATACTATATTGAGCCAAAAAAGTTCTTTAGAACTGCTTTTTTGTCAATAGCACAATTTCAATTTCCCGATTCTCCTGAAAAATCCGAAATATGTGACTTATGAGGTTTCTAAAATTACCGATTCATATATAATGTAACGCTCCCGTAACTGAGACCTTAAATGACGATGAGACGTCCACGCCATAACAACGCTTAGGTAAACAGGGTCTACTGCACAGCGCGCTAGAAGCGGTATGGTATAGCTTGCAACATATTCAGGAAGCATCTACCGCCATCCAGAAGCATCGATAGTAATCTAGCAAGGTTAGATAGAGGCCCTCGTGACAAACAGTTAACAACGCGGAGTGCCATAGTCCAGTCGACATGTTAATAAATTTGTAATAAATTAGTGCCAGACTAATAAATTAAAATTTAAATAGTAGAAACGGTCTAATTTTTGATTTGGAACATCAAGTTCAGCAGCACTGATTCTGTCTATACAAACAGCTGAGTATAATATGTTTGATATACCTAAACCGTTAAAGGAGGGTAACTAATTCAAAATTTTACCTATGATGCTATAGCATAACACAATCACCTTGTTCTAAATTCAGCTGTCAGAAAACAAAATTACTCGTATCTTTCTTTCAGTGACCAGTTCGTAATGTTCGAAAATGGATATGGAAACATAGTTGGAAGAATCAAAGATATGATCATTAGAGGTGGTGAAAATATATACCCCAAAGAAATCGAAGATTTTCTACGATCACATCCAAATATCTTAGAGGTTCATGTAAGTTTAAGCCTTCGCTACTTTTCCAAAGTTTATCAAAGATAAGCGGTTTACGGATCAAAATTAGGACCGCTTCCTAGTTCATAAATTGTGAATTCTTTTAAGCGTGAAGACTGCTGATGCCAGGGCTGGCCTCAGAACTTCGTGCGCCCTGAGGCAAAGTATGAAATATGCGCCTTCCCCCCCTATTAATAGAGAACAAGCTCGGATCTATCCTTTGAGTCAGCATATTGTGTGTACTGCTTTACAGTACTTGAAGGCATTGCATGTTTGTGTATCTCTTGGCAAAAAAACAGCAATCCGCGAATGCATAAGTAGCTAGTCTAATAATCATTTCGGATAGTCGAAATTTCTTAATCAGACTTAATTTGGAGGAACATAGTTGTCGAAACGTAATTTGGAATTATGTTTTGAACGCTGCTGTATATTTTTCTGCCAAGTAGTAAATTCATTGGAGGTATCTCCAAGTAAAATGATGTTTTATGCTGACTCATAGACATATAATGTTTTAATACGAATTTTGAGATTTCCCTCCTCATGGTTCGAAAACCATCAAGCTGTCGAAAATTTACAAAAGATCTTTTTCTTAACAAAACGTATTCTCTCTAAAAAGTTATACGAGCTTGTATATTTTTTGGTTAGTAGTTTAACCGTTATTCGCGAAAATGTAGTTTCACTTGTATTAATGAGGTTTAATATTTCGTAAATGTTGAACGTACGGTAAAGATGTATTAGATCACAATGATCAAATGATTCTATATTATATTTTTCACGTAAGATTGCCAGTTTAAGATTTAATTGGTTAATCGGGTTTATCAGAATGACGACAAGAGCTTCGTCGCTATAATGACGACAATTTGTTGTTTGTCCGACCAGAGACGGCTAATAATGGACAGCTGTTTAGTGCTATTTAGCAACACATCAGGATACTGTAGACTTTGTCTCGGTGGTAGGGTTGGCATCTCCTAATATACAAAAGCCCGGCTCGGCACTGTATTTGGCCGGACATTTGGCACCTAAGGTCGGATATTATATTATTTGTTGGGGGCTGCTGCGATTGAAAAATGAAAAGCGCGAAGCGAAGCTGGCAGCGACTTGGCTGCATCTGCGCTTTTGAATGCGAATGCCTTTGTGATAATAATAATTATCGACGAACAAAGAGAGGGGTTGTCCGTGATTGAGCATTAATCACCAACGGCATTGAAGAACAGAGGGGGTAGCGGCGGCTCTTACATTCATAAAATATTCTCAATAGCTGATTGAAAAGTTACGAGTACCGCGTAGACCAAAAAGCTTAACAAAAACCGGACACGTAAAAACTTGGTCGGACAGGATGGAGAAAAGCTGGATGGATGGCAAACCTCTACTCGGCGGACCAACTTTTCTAGCGAAATCAATAAAAATATTGTATCACTTTTTGTAAAAAAAATTACCTATTCCACGGAGTTCCAGATGAGGCGCTTAATTCAAGGCAGTAGTCAATGGTTCTGTTAACCGAAGACCAATTTTAGCCTCTGCACTCATCATAATCTAACTACACCCTTTGAACATATTTGAAAGAACCTGTGTATATAAGCAGGCTAAGAAATATTGCATATTTTTCAAGACGATACTCGTATTAAATCGCAGGCATAGCGCCCCAAATTTTGAGAAAATTTATTTAAAACACATGCAATGTGGAAGATCACGAGCGCAAGAAGCATATAATATCTTAAGCTGCAGGAATATATTCATCATGCATACCTTATTTTCCATTAGTAAAGCATATCTCGATACAGATTTATTTTAATTATCGCTTAAATGAAGATGATATTATGAAAAATTTCAACCATAATGTTAATTTTACGTCGCCTCGTATAATATGTGCGTATTTTTAGTGTAGAAGAAGTTCGATGATATTCATTAAGTTTTTCTTTTTTATGTTCTAGCTGTGACACCTTATGCATAATATTGTTTATTTAAACAGGTTGTAGGTATACCTCACAAAAGACTAGGAGAGGAAGTTTGTGCTTGCATAGAGACAAAAGACGGCAGCACAATATCGACAGAAGAAGTGAAAATATTTTGTGATAAGAAGCTAGCTTATTTCAAGATTCCTACGATGGTTCGTACAATGAAGGACTTCCCAAAAACGACATCAGGCAAAATACAAAAATATAAATTAGTTGAACAGGTTGTCCGCGAAATGAACAACAACATTGTATAATTTATACTTGTGTTTTATTTATATATCATCAGTAAAGTTTCTTATTTTATAGTATTAATTTTATATATCGTAACAAAGTTATCCCAATAACGTTTGGATTCTCAAGTAATTCATTTGAATCCGGCTCTGTTGCAAAAGGCATCCAAAAAGGCGCCATCTGATAGACGGAAGTTGAAATAACTGCTAGAGATGTGATATTACAGTTTTTATGAAGAAATTGATAATTGGTTTTGGTAGAAGTTTTCCCACCTCTAATCATCGGTAGATTATGGTGTCTTGTAATTTTAATATCTGTCAAAATTTGTCATTCCTGTGTGATTCCTGCCCTGTCTTCAAATTTTTTAAAAATCAAATATTGATTGGAATTTTGATTTAATTTCTCAAACAGTGAATAGTTTTCTAATGAGTTTAGGACTAACACCAACAGAAAATACCAAATAATGATTAATTGAGGTTAAAATCCAATCTTTCAGCTACAATGGGTAAATTAAGTGCTTTTCTTTTGATATGCTTTATCTTTACATTCGGGTATGGTATCGGCTTGATCAATTTTATAACAGACTTTGAAGATAAGTGTGAAATGACCTACATCTATGAATATCCTCAGTTTGTTGTAAGTATGCTGTAATTTTTAATATAACTATATATTTGAAATAGTATCACTCATCAAATGTAAAAATAGAATACTCTATATGCGTAAAGCCTATTAATATAATACAAAATTTTCCGTTTTAGCGAGTATCACATCATTTGGATGAGAAATTCCCAAAATATGCCTTATTTGCCTACAGCGAAGGGAGGTTCACATCAGAGGTTCGCAATATGCACTTCACTGGGATACCTGTTTTGTTTATACCAGGAAACGCTGGATCTCATAAGCAAGGTAAGGATACACTTTCAATATCAACACATCAACAATACTGTGCTGAGTATTTAATGTGACCATATGTCCCATTAGAATGAGATCATCAGTCTTTGTACTCCATCCTGGTGTATCTGGCAAAAACATGGGGATGCAAAATAGTCCTGTTTTCCCAAACTATGTAAAAATAATCAAGCAAATCCACACACCCTCCAGTGGCATTTTAAGGTCTGATACTTGATACTGGCATATTTGCTCTATTGCTTCATTTCTTTTCTTAATATCCAATTTACAAATGACATACAAAGATATGTATAATGGCTTGGAAGCCTCGACTAGCCAGATTAGCTGGTTGGCATGACTTAGGAGCTATTAAAGGCACTTGGGTTTTTGTTGTAAATATTTAAAATGTTCTTCTATGACCGTAATGGAGCAACTTGGGGTGCACCCCTTTATTCTCTAAAAACTCCAGAGGCCCACACAGAATTAAGCCAAGTCTTAAAAACACAGAGTATTCTACCAATCAGTCAGTTTGGTTGAGATACCTTCAAAGCCAACTATGACGGAGTGACCACATGAGGTGTATGTATTCATCACATTTTTGAGATGGATATGAGCTATATTATAGTTGTATTATTTCAAATAGGTAAATCACTATCATTTGTCATCATATTATAGTGACATATGTTTTTATTTGTATTTATACTGTTATTTTGATACAGGCTTATGCATGTATAGTAGTTGTAGTAATTATTCTTGGCGGGTCAAAGTAAGACTACCAGTATCCCTTTATATATCTCCATCTCCCTCATACATACACATGCAACCTACCCCTAGTTGTGTCACCATCTCGAAAACTTTGTCATTATGTATGAGTTCCCTCCAGTCATATTTGTCAGAGTGACAATTTACTTGACATCGGCGTTCAATTTAAGTTGTCCTGTTATCAATCTTCAATATAAAATTGTACAATGCCCAATGAAAATGGCGGTCCCCTGTTACCCACTTCATGAGTACTGGAGGGAGTAGTAGATGCTCTGAAGCTTAAGATCCACACATGGTACGGAGACTTGATCTGTTTACTTATTTCATTTGGGGTTGATGACGTTACCGTCAAGAACGGTGACTACAACTATATACTGTTTATCTACAATTACACAATTTAATATCCTTGTTTTCAATATACTACAGAGCTTCTCAAACCCACTTATTTTTATATTGATGCAGGCATGGATTTTAATGTCAAAATAATAATAATATGGCACCTAGGTGCCATCTTGGAACATATTTTAAATGAAATGGTGGGTCACATATCTTATTTTTAAGCTTTTTATGGGTACTTTGTAACTATAAAATCACCATCTTTCAAAACAATGAGCTGGCAGGCTGTCAAAGTTGGTCGTTTTTGTAAATTGAGTTGAGCTATACCAGTTTCTAAAATATAATGAAAATTGACAAATCTGTCATCTATTCAAACTGAACGTTCCATATTTTATTTCACATTTAGATAGAGCCTTCCCAAAGGGACTCAATCTGCCATTTTGAAACATAGGTAGTGATTTTATATTCTAGCATTATAAGGAGCTTGAAAATACATTACCCCCCCCCCCCCCCAATGCATTTAAAAAAATGTTACAAGGTCTATCTAAATCTATCTATTAAGCTGTTATTTTTATATTAAAATAACTATACGATATACATATATGTTTTTCTGGCCAATAAATCACATGTATTGACAGAATCTTCATTACATTTCAATCACAAAGGTGATCTTTTTCAGTACAACGACAAAGGGTCCGTTCAGCCAACGTAAAGCAGTGCAGCATGGAATAGCTTTGGCAGTTTGTAAAATTGACCAACTTTCTATCAATCCTGACAGCTAACTGAAAACTGATGTCAAACGAGTAAAGCTGTTCAATGGCTATGCTATTCAGCATAAGAGTGTTGCACCACCGGACCGCTTTAGGTTATCTGAACGATCCCAATGTATTTTATTTATTTTTCTTCCTATTCACCGTGTCTTCAACAGTCTGAAAGTCCTGTAACATGTTGAGATTGCACTGTCATCATTCCAAATTTTAAGTTGGCACAACACATAGGACCGCCTGGGGTAGGGATTCTCACTCCCAAGAAGGTCTAGCCCTCCAAAAGGAAAAGCGAGCATGATGCTATCTATCGTTTTTTAATATACTCGTCATCTCACTACATCATCTCAGAAACGCCGAAAGCGTCCAAAAAACGCGAAAACCTACTCAGAACTGCCAATAAATGTGGTTTCATTGGCCAGACTTGTATCTGGGATTATACCATTATACCATTCCATCATACCTAATTCCAGCTTTGCCCATTCAAAAAATTAGTAGGGAGGTGGGCTTTCTGAAAAGTATTGCAACTAGGATGGTAGCATCACTCTGACCTATTCCAGGTTTTGTTTTAGTAGAATATTGAACAACTTAATAATAACATGAAGTTTAACAGGAAGACCTGACTTTTTACTTCTAGTGAGATCCCTGTCATCAATTGCTCTAAGAAAAATGTTGAGCAATGGAATCCCATACCATTTTGACTATTTTACATTGGATTTGAATGGTGAATTAAGTGGGGTTTATGGCCCACTACTATTTGACCAACTGGAATATGTTAATAGCTCGTTATACAGAATCTTAGACCTGTACAAAGGAAATGATAACAAGCCTGAATCTGTGGTTCTCATAGGACACTCCATGGTAACTTAATAAATAATTCCACTTCCGTCAGAAAAAATGACTGCAATCTTTTTTTATTGTACAGGGTGGAGTTATAGCTGTAAAATTAGCCTGTCAAATATCGAATCCATCATTGATCTCAGTACTGATAACTTTGGCTAGTCCTCTTAGCAGGCCTCCAATTTTCCTGGACTACCACACTAAGAAATTTTATGATGAAGGCCTAATCGCGCCTGAGGAGACTAGTTTGATTAGTTTGTCAGGAGGCTATAATGATTTTTTGATACCATCATTTCTGAACAATCTGAAGAGCAGCAAATCACTATATGCAGTAGTAAGTAACATAACTACTAGTTATTGTTTCTTCTGAAAGAAAATATTTGCACCCAAAGATTCTTGTTCCAAACGAGTATGTTTGAAGTGTATGAATGCTTTAATACATAGCTAGTTTTTATGAAACGCTAGAGACCTTTAAAAAAGTATGCCTTTAGCTATGCTTTACTCAAATTTTCCATCAGAATACTAACGTCAAAGTGCTTACATCGCGCTAAATTTGTATCAAAACCCAAGTGATATTTTTTGTGTAAAGCCATCTCCATGTGAGTGAGTGTATTAATATTTAAAAACGTCATCAGAATCTATTTTTTGAGTTAATGAAAGATCAAGGATAGTCGACAAACAGAGGGAAACTACAAATGAGTAAAAGTGTTTCATAATGTTTGATTGATGTGCATCTTTTTAATATACATATATTTTTTCTTTCAGACAACAACCATTCCTCGTGCCTGGGTAGAGGCAAACCACGTGCAAATCTTATGGTGTAAACAAGTTGTTCTCACTATCACCAGAGCATTGTTTGACATTGTGTCTGTTAAAAAGAAACAAATATCAAATAGTACGACATATCGCGATAAAGTCTTCCACCATCATCTTATTGATGTAAGTTTCTGGAAATTCGAGTTTGCTTTATGATATAGTAACATTTTCAATTTAACTCTGCCTTCCTGGCAAAGCCTTGATTTAGCTTCAAGTAACTTCGAAGTCAACCACACATGTTATATTTTTATTAATGCCTTAACAGTTTAGTGAACATTTTATACCATAATCTTTGAGTTACTATGTTTATTAAAATTTATATTTTTAGAATAGTGGTATCAATATAAGGTACTGGAACAGTTACGAAGCCCTGGTTCATATAAACCACAAGGGCCAATGGATAGAAAATATCCAGAAACAGTACTCTGTAAAGCATCTCCAGGGTGTTCGTGAGGCCCACTGGTATATGGTTAAAATGAATAGTCTTCCTGGTTATGAAATGGTTTCTGTTTTGGCTATAAATCTGGAAACTGTTGATTGGGTATTTGTATGTAATGCATATGTTCCAAAAGGACCATCCAAAGTGTGGTAAGTTTTTTATTCCTTAAAAAATAAACTGTTATATAGTTGTCCTCACCGTTCTTGGCGGATTATATATCTCCATCTCCCTCATACATACACATTCAACTTCCTCTGTGTGTGAACGTTTGTTCGGTAAGCTCAAAGATATACGTTTTTTACATGTGTGTCTCGGTTTCGAAAACTTTTTCATTCCGTATGAGTTCCCTTCAATCATATTTGTCAGAGTGACTGCTTACTTGACATCGGCGTGCAATTCGAGTTGTCCTGTTATCAATCTTCAGTATAAAATTGTACAATGCCCGAAAATACGATCAATGGAGAAGAGAATGAAAACCTGTTACCCTCTTCATGAGTACTGAAGAGAGTAGCAGATGCGCTGAGGATGCGATGGTGGCCATATATAGCTTCCCAGCCGTCAAGCCCTAGCTGTCTCGTATGAAAAGACCTATAGGCTGGCTATTTTTGCGATTGCTCTGATCGATACATTTGCATAAATATTTTATACTATACAACGTATATATATTGAATGAAAATATATTACATAGACTGCAAATGGATGATAAATATCCCCAACATGCATAAATGTCAAAATTGTAAATTTGAAAAAACAACGCTTAACAACACCTGGTTAGTCTGTTTCATCTTTTTTGGTGACACCATTTCTCTGGTTTGGCCAGTCTATATATATATATATATATATATATATATATATCCCTCTCCCTCTCTCCCTAATTTATTTGTCTTGTCTGTTTTCTCTTAGTACAACTATATAGAACACCTCTTTCATTATCCTTTGGTTCTTCCTCTTTTTTAAGACTTTAAAATAGATTATGATTACAGTGTGGAGGGGTATCATCTGACTCAGTACTCACATATGGCACCATCTGTAAAATATAAAAGAAGATATTTACAAATGAATATGTATGAACTGAGAAGAAATTACTCTGAAGCAACACATATAGTATTTAGGGTATTGCCAACAAATGAACCAGTGAGTATAAACATATTAGTATTAATTTCCAAAAAATACATCCGCAACTAAGCAATTTATGTAGTTCAACTAAAATCATTTGAGCTCTCGTATGAACATTGGCGTAAGTACAAAAAGTTTCTGGATGGGCTCAGCAGGGTGTCCACAGATGCTCATTTTTACTCTTCTCTTTCTTTCTGGGCTCAGGCTCCCTCTCCCTGAATACTTTCTTGCCTACGAGCCACTAGTCATAAGCAAACTTTTGTTAAAATTATTCTAGTGATTTGAGATCCTTAATAATCAACAATGTCTGGGAACAGGAAGTATTTTGTAAACAATACGTTTTTTGATCTGTCTCTATCTTAATATGGAGTTTTCTTTTTAAAATCAAACAAAAAATCACCCTTAGTGTAATATCAAAGCGTTTGGAAACAATTTTTCTTGGAAAAGAGTGGGGGTAAAAAATAAACCGAGGAATATACCCTTTAAAAGAAAACCCGAATTGTTAACTTTTATCACTGAAAATTAGCATCATTAATCTTATCTTCACACTGCTTGTCAAGCTTTTGGAATATGGTAAAAATGTAACAGGGGAGGGTCCACCGAAACCAGCAACAAAGTGGTCTGCGAGAAAAAAGTTTTGGAACCACCGATCTACAGTAACGTTAACGTTCGTATAGCATGCTACTCATGGAATATATACCGCATAGACGTTTGTTCCGCTTAAAATTACTCACCACAAATGTATTTGCAAAAGATTGTTCTCGAAGATAAAACAGACGAATACAATTTCTGACGCATTTGATGTCTCTCATCGTTGATCCAAAATCGTACCTTGCCGAATGATAATCTAATTTCCGGTTATGTGCTGACTGTTGATATTAATTCGTAATAGCTGTATTAATTCCAAATTCTCTGTGACATTTTTCCAGATAATTTTTCACGTAGATACTTATGACAACAACGAACGAAACATATCGGTAGAATTGCCTAAATGGTGGTCATTTGAGAATAGGGTGATCATCCATAATACTGCAGAGAACGCGGTTCACTACAATCTCATTCTACCTCAATTAGAACACATTATACAATATTACCAGCTCTACATACATCCAACATATTGTAGTAAAGATTATCACCACGCATCTGCAAGTTTAATTGTCCCATGGAGTCACGAGACATATCATTCCTATGTCACGTAAGTTATGTTGTTTGATTACGTTACTTCAGAGCCAGTGGAAAAGTATTGTTATTCACTTTACAGATGCAATCTAGAATAATTCATTTCAGGAGGTTATTGTTGTATTAAAATATAAAATTTGTGAAGAACCACAATCTTGCTAATTTCCAACACCCTGTTTAAATACTTGCCCTTAAATAGAAACTTTGTACTTTGATATAACTAAGGCGATTTACTACGTCCAAAATGATTACACTATCAAGAATAACTCTTCACTATACCTACTTTGTTAGTTTTGTATATTTGCTTCTGAGTTAATAGGTCAAATTATGTTTTTTAGGAATGTAGACAAAAAACCTGCAAATATAAGACTGTACAGTTCAAAACCTGCGTATGCTAAAGACTTATCAGCATACATCAGAATCATACTGGAACCATCTTGTTCATATAGAATAAGGTATGCTGTATCCTGTAACATAATCTCCAGAATATATTCGTTAAGAACAATTATCTTTTGATTATTTTATATTCTTCTCTTTACAGCATTCGGCCATCTATTAGTGGCAGTCTCGGTCAATTAGCTAGGGTTTACTCACCTCTTTTACTTACCAACGTAGCTGTGATAATTTTAATGTCGCTGAGACACCAACTAAGATGTCTTGAAAACAACGTCCATTGTTCGATATTATTTGTTGCTCTCGAAGAAGGAGCCAAGCCTTATTTTGTATTGACAATAACTAAAATGCTGTTGCAAGTTAGGTACGTCTCAAAAATTCAATAATTATGTATGTATGTTTCTATGTTCCTTAATTTTCAGCAAAATGCTGCTGCCCAGTTATGCTCCGCAGCCAGACATGTTCTATTTAATAAATGAAGGAACAGACTTCTTTTGGTTGCCCCTGGTTCTGTATTTGTGCAGTGTAGGCATTGTTTTCCTGATGGGAATTGGTCTCGCAGTCTCACTTGTAGCTTTGGAGTCTACTGTCCACAAAAGTGCATTGAAGTGAGGATAATCTGCATGCATACATACAAGGTGCCCCACATAGGACTGCTTTAGTTTTAATGATGTAGATTATGAGATTACAAAATCCTGATTTTCATTTGAAAAAAATAGTCTTAGCATTTTTTACAACTTAATTTTTATCCAATGTTTTTTGATCACCCTGTATGGTTGATTATCAAATGTCGAATGAAATATACTGAAGTATACTCCTTCTATAAGAAAACAGTTACAAATCGCTCGACAAGGAGAAAAATATATGAAATATTAATGGAGTTTGCACAGTAGAAAGTGGCATCATTTTGAAAATATTTTAACCGAATTCCTCATATCAGTTATACCAAAACTCCAAGTTTTCATAATTATCTAACATCACTTTTCGAGGAATCGACCGCTGCAATTCTACATGGGACACCCTCTATGTGCCTCTCAGCTTTCATTTGTGTTACAGTTATTGTGTTCTTCCAAATGATGCAATATATCTTACATATCTAAGAATAAATAACAGTTATGATATTTTTAGGTTATTAGCTCGTAGCATTAGCTTTAATGTAAGCTGGTCAGATTATTTGATGACAGGTCTACACAAAGTGCCTTTGATTGTCGTTGTGACACTGATTTTATTGTGTTTATCTACCTGTGGAAGTCTTGCACTATGTCTTGGGTGTTTGTTTTATTTTTTAAGGGTAAATATTATATATGTTATTTAACATATTTGGCAATTTAGCTGATAAGTTCATTTATCATTTGATCTTCTGCTCACAATAATGATAGCACGATCCTCGCAATGAAAAAAAATAAGACGCACAACTTAAACACGTTTTGCAAACACTTGTGCACGAAATATTGGATCCTTGCCTAGTCTAAGCCAGGTCCGACTTAAAATCATTTGTCATAACTTTTCTATCTATGAATGATAAATCACGATGTTTTTTCTTTTAGTTGACGCAGATGTCACAAGATTACGTGGAAGAAGTTGTGTGGCATTTTGCTAAAAATATTGCCAGACAAATTAAAAACAAACTGTTTAGACAGAAAGAGAATGCCTGTGATGGTGCGATTAAAACGCCTTTAAGAATAACAGATCCTAATGTAGATGAAGACAAACAAGAAAATGACAAGCAACTTTCCATTCAACAAAGTGTAGAACAATCTGTGAAAACTGAAGCAACAAAAGTGTCTGAAACCGTTAACAAAAATACTGAAACTGATGATGAGCATAATACTGTAGAAAAAGATGAGGCAGAACAAGCTGCAGAAAACAATATTGAGAACAAAAATAAAAGTGATAATGATGAAGAAGTATCTGAAACTGAATGTAACAAGGATGACTTTATTGTAGATCATGGAGAGTCATGTAATAAAGAAAAATTCTCGGATAGAGATAAACAAGTCGTATTGAAAAATGAGGAGGATCTACAGGTAGCAGTTGGAGGTACAAAAGACACAGAAAATGACAATGACAGAAATAGAAACAAAGAGAAAGAAGGAAAGCTCTTAGCAGGTTATAGTGCCATATTTTTTCATTCTACTATATTTTTGTTGTGGCTTATTATAGCTCTTATTAATATACCTGCCGTGATGACATGGGCTCGAAACTTTCAGTAAGTAATATTATTATTAATGTTGTTGGAATTGTTTAGATTCATATCTCACTTCAATATTCGTATTTTTGAACATATGTGTATATCTCTAGATATTAGTGAGTTCATGGGATACTGATGCACTAGTCATTGTGGATATTTATTTTAACATATAAATTATTTTGACATTCTAGGTTCAATAAAACTTTAACACCTGACGATTCTTTCATCCCAGGGATTGTTTTAAGTGCATGCGCATTTCCTTTATGGCAGTTTGAACTACCAAACTCTAACAGGTAATGTTAATGACTTTTGAGTCTGAAGTAGGAAGTTTCCTATAGTCGAAAATACTCTTAGTTTCACTTCCATATATAATAGTATAAATGGTATCTTTGATCAATCTGAAAGAATTATTTTGATAACTTGAAATTTAAGGAAGTTATGACACCACGAAAGGTGAACATAATAATGGTTAAATATACTAGGTAAAACATTTATGTTTTGGCACGCAATAATATTTATAATTAAGACCACGCGATCGATGCCTCAGTGGTTCATAGGTCCTAAAAAATGGCCAAAAATCGAAAGATTCACTGAATTTTACTAATAAATTAATTTCTTCGTTTTCCAGGTCGCTGATAGCGAATGTGCTATCCATTTTTCAAAGACCAAAATGGCGGATTTCATATGGTGTACTTTTTTGCAAAACAATGTTTTGATTTAGCTCAAATTGTAGTTTTATATGTTTTCAAGTTATAATTTATGTATTATTGCAAAGACAATAACCAAATTCACCGCCGCTCTCGTTTACACCAATTAGGTTGTTTCTCCATCGTCATACCAAATTAATTAAATTCTAATTCTTCTGCACGGGAAAATGTTTCCTGGAGCTGATATGCTTGTATTTGTACAACTAGGTACAGTGCACTGTTTTTAAGTCGAATGTCTGACACATTTTTCCCATTTTTACGGTAAATCGTAAGCACAGGGCAGTACAACGTTTGTAAATAGCGCGCAGTAGGCTCATCGCTTTGTAAAAAATATGTACAGTGCTATAATCGTTTTAAATGGGCTTAAAAATATAGGAACTTCCTCATTTAAAGTCTTGCTACAATATTAACTGCTGATAGTAGTATGTAAAATTTTGTTACTATATTTTAGGAAATGGTTGGATAAGTTACAATTATTTCTGTTGGCTGTAGCAGTAATAAGCTTGCTGTTTGCCACTATATCAGTCTACAGGCTTAATTACTTATTGACAGCTACTATTGCTGTGATTACTCTTCAGCAGTTGTTGGCCCCAAAAATAGAAACATCAGATAATGATGGAAACGAAGAAGATACTCATCGAACAAAATATGAAAGTGTTAAGGCCAAATTAGAATAACTTTGAAACTGTTCGTGGTATGCTAAATCGGAAGTTTCAAGCTAGCTCATTCCGTTTTCTTGGTTCAATAAATCGTATAGACGGAATGCATCTTTCTCTTAATCAATTTTTATATCAATAACTTATAAAACATTGTTTACGATTATGCTGATGTCAAGTTTTTGAGTTATTGATTGATTAGCTTCGTTCTACATGCCACACTAGAAAAAAAAGAAACTATTTCACGAGTATCCATCACGGTAGAATTAATGACAACTGATTATCTAGTAATATCTCAAAATTGCCCATATCGGCACAGGATACAACATTCCTACAAACAAATTTTACTAGATTTACATCCCATTGATTATTGCCAACGTCGCAGACTAACACAAAAATGTCACTTGCCGATCAGCTGTTCACCTCAGTAGACGTCAAACCGTGATGGAAACTCGTGAAATAAGATATACAGGTATATAGTCGTTTGTTAAACGACACTCATATCTTATACATTTATAATGCCATACAGCTTTAAACAGTCATCTTAACTTTATGAGATTGCCAATCTGATTCAGCTCGATTTGAAGTTAGTCAAAACATATAAGAGAGTGCATTCCTTGTCTATATTAACGTTAATGAAATGCTGCTGATATGAGGTATTCAACAAATGTTTGCTTTAAAAGTGTATAATTTTGCTTAAAATAGTTTTAGTATATATAGATACATCACTATAAGCCTGTTTCCCATGTTCAAAATAAGTGTAGTTTGTACCTATATGGGTTTTTCACTTAAGGAGTGAAGACGTATTTAACAAATACGATTTGTGATATAGTTTTTAGTTATGTTTTGAAGTTGAAAATATAGTTGAGGAAGGCTTAAAAAATTCTAACAGTATCCTTTTGTATAAGAATTATTATATTGTTCTTGCTAATATAATGGACAGTTTTGACTAATTTTGTTTTATTCCATAAGATTATTACAGACACATTTTCAAACACACTGACTGCAATACTTTTATCATCATAAATTACTCATTGTGCCTACATTCAACATGGTTTATGTTTTATTAGTTCAATAATCTATTAGGTATATTGAAAAAACCAATCAAGTGATTTGATGAATGTATGAAAATCTGTTTTAGTTGCTACAAATTAAAATTTAAGGTGAATAGGGCATAATGAATAATAGTTTAAAAAAAACACTCTTTCATAGCTAACCGAATTAAAAAGTAGAACATAATGTTTTTAATTACAAAGAGTTTATATTACAGTAGTAGATTGTCGAACAATAAATCATAATTAATGACATCAAAATAAAATTTTAGTTATTAACAGAATAATTCAATTCAGAGTAAAAAGCGTGGGGTGCTTGATATATTAAATGTTACAATCATTCTATTGGCAATTATCTATGAGAGGAGAGTTATGAATATGATATAATCTAAAACCGCGTTAAAAATTCATTTTACAGAGCTGGCAATGTTGCCAGGTGTAATCGATCTGTTTTTGGTACATTTATGCGAAATTTTTCGGTAGATTTCGGTAAACATAAAGCAAAAACTTGCCAATGATTAAAGATTGGAGACAGTATCTTGGTTGTGTTCTACTCGGCATTGAAGGGGGGGGGGGCATCAAATCGAAAATTGAGGAGCAGGGGACAGCAAAGTACTCTATCCTTGTGTTTCATTGAGATACATCAGAAATTACCTATTTAAAAGTTCGAAAGATTTTTCGTTTGATTGGGCATTAAAATAGGTAGTTCGGAAGAATAGGACTAGAATCGGTAGCAGGTAACACAAGAAGTTACGGAAATCGACCAGCTTAAACCGGTCTCATACGATGTGGCGAATGCCTTACAACGTTGGACACATGGCCATTCCCCACATCCATCGTGTGGGAGAGCGCTGATGGATTGCATGTGTCCAACGTTCGCCACATGACACGTTCGGGTTCTTGTCGGTAAATTTGACCCGCGTCAAATGCCGTTACAACGTTGGATGTCATGTGTTTGATGGTTTTAGGTTAGAAACAGTAGTGGCGAAAAACATTTACTTGTTTTCTGTGATTGTGGTGAAGTAGTGGTATGTGGGAAGTATTTTGATTTGAATACCTACCTATTCATAATAATGTTCCGTAACTAACTTTTGAGGAGATTAAATTAAATTAATATACATACAAAACATAGGCTGACATAACAACACACTTTTTTCATATCGCTAATATTTTGTACATTTCGCAGGTGAGTTATGGCTGGCCTAAGGATATGTATCTTAGTAAATTCGAAATTATCAATTGCTCACAGTGTGTTTCATTATAATGTCCTGTTGCAATGCAAGACTAGTTCAGGAATATATTGATTAGCATTTCATAACTAACGAAAACGATTAAATAAATGATAACTCTGAAAGAACTATCAGGATTTTGATGAAATTTTGACCCAAGGTCACTACTATGAAAAAGCTCTGGAGTTTTTGAAAATCGCTACAGTGGCGGCGGAGTTATCGTCGGAAAACAAACAAAAAACGGTCAAACTTCGTTTTTCGACATTTCTGAGGCTTCTGACATACTTAAGGTTTGGTCGCCGATGACAAATTATTTTTCGACGCTCGAAAAAAATGTTTCATCGTTCATTTTGTATAATTTTTCCTTCAGTTGTAAAGCATCCCACAAATCGGCGCGAAATATTCGCTTTGGCTGCGAAAATTTCGCGGCGATGAATTCGCGATCAGATTAAAACGCGGCGGTTTACGGACAGGCTCAGACTTGTGCGAAGCGAATGCGATTGTTCCAGCGTTTTTCAGTTCGCCTTTGACCGCGTTTTTGACGCCGTTCTTCAAAAATTCGCAATGGCAAAAACGGAATTATTGATAGAAATTGTGAAAAAGTATCCTTGTTTGTATGATTTGTCGAACGATGAATGCAGGAATGTGAGAAAGAAAGACAAGATTTGAATGGAAATAGGAAAAGAATTAAATACAAATGGTATATACCTAATATTTTTTATTAACTTGTTAAATAATTTACAGTCTACACAAATGTGAAAACGAACATTCTATATATTGGTCATAGGCATATCAGAATTAAAATAATTTACGAATTTGTCACGAGTAGAAAATGCTAGCCTTGCTGCCCGCCGAGGATCATTTGCTATATCAGTTAAAGCTCCAAGCACGGGTTCTGGGGATCTAAGAATTGAAAATATTTGTCATCGCCACTTTTACTTCGTAAAAAATTGTATAAAATACATGCCGTACGTACAATTAGAATAGTAATGGGTGGGCCATTTAAAAGTTTCGATTTAAAAATAAAATAAAACAAAAACGGTTTGAGATATTGCCAAATTTATTTTTTTGTTTTGAAGTACAATTGTTCCGCTCAGAAATGAAATATTACTTCATCCAAATGGCTGCCGCGGCTGGCCTCACAGTAGCCCATTCGATCGGACCAATTTTCGAGCACTTTTTCGAGTGTTTGGGGCCGTATCTCGTCAATGGCATCACGAATGTTGGCCTTCAAATGGTCAATTGTCTCTGGATGGTCGACATAACACTTGTCTTTAACAGCGCCCCACAGGAAATAGTCCAATGGTGTCAAATCGCAGCTTCTTGGCGGCCAATTGACATCACCATTTCGACTGATTAAACGGCCATCGAAGGTTTCGCGCAATAAGTTGATTGTGGCATGCGATGTGTGACAAGTTGCACCATCCTGCTGAAACCAAACATTCTCCACATCAATACCATCAAGAGCAGGAACAAAAAAATCAGTTATCATGGTGCGATAGGTGTTTCCATTGACAGAAACGGTTGCGCCGTCCCCGTCTTCAAAGAAATATGGGCCAATGATGCCTCCGCTCCACAATCCACACCAAACAGTCACTCGCAAGGGATGCATTGGCTTCTCTAAGACCTCGTGTGGGTTTTCCGAGCCCCAGATACGGCAATTTTGCTTATTGACGTAGCCACCAATATGAAAATGAGCCTCGTCTGAAAAGATTATTTTTTTCGCAAAATCGACATCATTGATTAGTTGCTCGTTGGCCCATGTAGCGAAGGCAGAACGAAGTGGATGGTCACGCGGCTTCAACTCTTGAACCAATTGAACTTTGTAAGGCGTCATACCGAGATCTTTCCGCAAAATTCGTCGTAAACTGGTGCGGGAAATGTTCAATTCTTGGGAACGATGACGTGTTGACGTTGATGGATTTTCACGCACACTCGCAGCCACAGCATCGATACCTTCGGGTGTACGCACTGTACGAGCACGCTGACGTGTTGGAGCATCAACAATGAAACCAGTTTCACGCACTTTATTAATAAACTTGCGTATACCGGGCGCTGTTGGTGCTTCGTTGCGACCGAATTTTGAACGGCATTTTCGTGCAATTTCTGCCCAATTGTCTTTGTTTTGGAAATAAATTTCCAATATTACCCAACGTTGCTCAAGCGTAAATCGATTCATTTCGTTCAGCGGAGATAATATACTGAATTTTATGACAAATCAGATTGACATAAGTATTGTCAGCGTCAAATTAACACGTGGTTCAAATCGAAACCGATAGATGGCCCACCCTGTAGTATCTACTTTAGTTTCTAATGGCCTGTAAAATATTCGCCATTTTTGAGACAAAATACTAAACGCATTTTCCACGACCCTTCTAGCTCGACAAAGTCTTACATTGTATTTCTCTTTTCTGACGTCTGTTAAAGTCTGCTTATAAGGAAATGGTCTCATAAGGTATGGTTTTAAAGCAAATGCTTCATCACCAATTAAGACGTACGAGCAGATTTCATTTTGCCCAGGGAGAAATCTAGGTGCAGGGACACTCATTAAATTTTGTTCAAATCGTTTTCCCATGTTTGAGGTTTCGAAAATACCCCCATCACTATTTTTTCCGAAACCACCAATATCAACACATATAAATTTATAGTCCGGGCCAACAATGGCCATAAGTACTATTGAATATTTATGTAAATAGCACCAGTAATTCGATAGGCCTACTAATTTTAATACATCTTCTGAAGACGAGCTCATTGCAAAAGGCAAAAATAAAATGTATGCAACCTGACGAAACCTTCACGTTTGCGGAGCGAATAAGACGCTTTGGTATGAATAAACAGGCGAAACAGATTGCGAATTTCGCTCTGAATTCCGTTGCGAATACTTCGCCGCGATTATTTCGCGCCGGTTTGTGGGATGCTTTCAAGCGCGACCCTTACACCGATAATAGACGTTGGCGCCACCATGCGTCGAACGTCCGAGACTATTAAGTTCATCCCATCGTGTAGGAGACACACTTGCCAATTGAGGGGTGTCGAACGGAAGCATCGTCTGGGACGCGCAATAATGGTGAAATGATTCAACTATTTACTTTGTGCACCATCTATTGATTACTAGATTTAGCACAAAACTGTCCCATGAGATGATTTTTTCTTTATTGGCGACACTGAATACTGACAGCCAGCTGATCAACTTGACATTACTCGTTTGTCACTTGTGCATCTCAAAACTTGTTTATCTTTTTTTGTATTTTATTGTGTTGATTTCTGAACACTGTATCGACACAGCACATTTTCTTGTTAGTAGTACGCGGTGAGTCATTCATTAACAATATTCACCACTTAAACCATTCCTTTTACTTTTTGTTCCACTTTATTTCTAACGATACGGTCTATATTTAGCATATCCTTGTATTTCCACGATGTCTCTATACCCGAGCTTGGAAGATATGAAAGTAGACGAGATGTGCAGAGCGCATTTGAGCCAAATAAAGCTTCAAAATGACCAACAGAGCATTGCATATCCATACCCAGATTTTGAAAATACCTCAATGCCAGTGCCAGCAAATAGAGCACTATATCCTGCCTTAGGGGAATATATGGGGCTTGAATTGAGTGAGGATGTGATTGCCCAGAATATGCCTGAGTACTTACAAGTTGCAGTGAGACAAGAGGTACTCAAATTAATATATATTTCTGTATCTCATTTTTGTCATTAGAAGCCATAGTTCAGTGTTACCTATGTCAATCTTTGTCAGTTTTGTCTCATTGGTTTTTCCACACATAAATATGGATATTTTGGATGAAACTATGTATATATAGTTGATTCATGACATTCAACAGACTATTTCTTCATAGGATTCTTTTCTCTAGGTAACTGTTATTATTAATAAAAAGTTGATTTAGGATTTTATTCTTGGTCATTCTAATAATAATTTGAAACATTATGTATATGCTTATCAGCAAATGTTATTTTCATATTAGTGATAATGTGATATCTCATGCCTAGCTTTGTAGCAATATTGTCCATGTTATGTGAAAATGTTAGAAGTACTAGTCATGATAAAATATTATGCAATTCTATGATTAAGCTTTGTTTATATTTTCATTGTTTTATCTCATTTAGCAAATATTGTTGTGTTCAGGATATACATAAAGCAAACACTTGGTACAAACTACATTTGTAGTGTAGTACACTTACATTTTTATTCTGACATTTGCTTGAGATTCTGGCCCCAATCAAAAAAAGTATAATGATTTTTGCAAATACATCAGTTGCAAACCCAATAAAAATGTGTTAGTTTTGTTAACTGCTGTTGTGTCACCACTAGATTCTTGAAAGATATACATTTTTTCTTTGCAATTGTATATACCTATTTTCAAAATTTCATCAAAATCTTGGTATTACTTTGTGACTATATAACAGTGCCAGAGATTGCTGGACATATGGCAAATTTCTTGTAGTTTGTAGGAGCTCTTCCATTATGTGACCAAATAATGCAATTTGTTGTACAAGTTTCACAATAAGTTTTCCAAATAAAAGTAACATGCATTACAATTTCTCCAGTGTTTTATTATAAAACTTGTACAGTAAATTAGGCCAGTGTTTTATTGTGGAGCTTGTACAGTAAATTATATGATTTGATCACAATAGTCAGACCAACAGAAATGACTTGGTTTTTCATGGTGTTATGTTATAAAGTTCCTTACTCTCATTTTTTTTTATTATATTTCAGCCAATAGCTCCAGCCACTCAAACTGGCCTCATAGCACCCATTTCAGGCCAATCAGTAGGCTTGCAACGTGCTCAGGTGACCCATGGAATCAGACCAGTGGTTCTGTGCAAAGACAAGGATGGCAAAGTTGGACTTCGAGTTAAAGCAATCAACAACGGTATTTTCATATCTGTAGTGGTGGATAGATCACCTGCTGCATTAGCAGGGCTCAGATTCGGCGATCAGATATTGCAGATCAATGACATTGATGTTGCAGGTTTCAGTATGGAGAAGGTACGATATCAATTTGTTATCTTATTTCAGCTAAAAGCTTGTCGACTTCCAATACAATTAATGCATCCATCACTGTTATTTTAGAAAAGCAAAACATTTATTTGAACTCTGCAACTGATTAAAATTCAAAGGGACTTTGTAGGCCCCTTATCAATAATGATAGTATGAGGCTCAGTTTTCTCAGCCTCAATTTCCCCTTCAGTGACTAACTTCTGGATTACTTAGATATTCAGATTGGTAAATTATTGGAATCCTACTTAATGCACAATTTCGTCAGTTTTTACCTGGTTTTGTAGTCCTTCTGATGAGAATTTCTGATCAGGTATGTATATGTATCTACACATTCCAGACAATATTGCCAAGATGCAGTCGAGATATAGCTGATGTATCCGAGACATATATATCATAACTTATTATATCGATTTCTTGACATTATGTATGTCGCTTTTGAACGAGCTGACATTTACTTGTAATAGGCGCAGGGTCAACGAGCACCTACCTAGTGCAAAAGTTGAAATTTTACCGATTTTTTGACATTAATCATTGAAATACCTACTAATGTAACATCTGAAACATGTCATGTTGCTAATTTCTCATGTTTGTCTGACCAGTGGAACCACATATATTTAAAACTCTTCTTTAATGTAATGATGGTGACCTTTTTCAGTACATGACACCATTGTGACTGAAACATTTACTACAATAAAGAAGAATTTCTAATACATGTTTCATCAGTCAACAAACATGTCACGCCAAAATGGCTGAACGAATCTCAATAAAATTGGGGACATATTTGTTATGTAAAATTCGTTTTTACTGTGAAAGTCTAATTTATTACTCTTACACTAATTTATGACAACACTTGCAACTAATTTATGACAAATTTATAACCATGTTGGGTGAACTATAGCTTGTTGATTCATTAAACGCTGTCCGTTGACTGTCTTCCTTCCGCCATTTCTGCCTATATTTATTCCCCTATCGACGAGTTGAGAAATACTCCAGGTCGAATTGCGAGTCTCCATGGAAGTAGATTCATCTCGATGACGTGAACTCGATCGCTCTCGATGCACGGGTGCACAATTGGTTGCCTAAGCGTCGATATTTCTGGACATCCATCGTCGTCTTGGGCGTGAAGGGTTCTAACCGACATAGACAAACTTCCGAGCTAGCGCGTTTTAATAAAGTATGTACCCTGAAAATCGTTGTTTTTTTCTCTATAATAATAATTAATAGAAGAAACAAAAATCTTTTTGGCCAGTTTCATTTTAGAATTATGCTTTACCATATCAATGGAAAACAAAAATTTATGTCTATATAACTATTAGGTTGTGTGGCTTAGTTCCATTCACTACAATGAATCTGGATATAGTTGATATTATTTTAAGATGTGAGTAGATGTATCAGTGTTTATTTCAATGTCTCAATATAATGAATATTCAGCATTCTCCAAAAAATATTTTTATTATATATTATCATCAGTGGTTCTATCCATGATAAGGCGACTTTATGGCATCAGTCACAAAGTTTAGGCAAACCAAGCATTTTTCGTTTTTCAATTGGTAAATTGTTAGTGTACAGTTTGGATACAGCTTGATTTACTGAAGTCGTACTATTTCTCGTGCATTCATTTTTAACCAATATGGAACGGAACTCGGAATCACTGGAACGTTCCTTGAAGAATATTCAGTTAGGTTGGTCTCTCCTATATTGAATCCATTTACTTTTACCACTTTCAGGTATCGCCATCTTCAAATTTCTTTTTGTTTACAATTGCACACTTGGAAAACTCTTTAAAATTTAAGAAATCTTAGTAATTCATTTCGATAACGTTGTAAAACGATGGCTTACGCTTTGCAGTTGGAGCTGCAATGTACCAACCTTCGAGGGTATATATATTTCCTTTATTACCACGGTTCTCTTTAGCAGACAGTTTTAGATACATACAGCAAGATTTCCAGATAAAATCCTTGTCTGGTGCGCAATTTCTAACAGGGGTGTATCTCTACCTTTTGTGGGAAGGGTGAGGGGTGAAGCTTTGAATAGTCAGAGCTGTATTGATAACTGCCATTCCAAATTGCTTCAGTTTGTCCACGCACACCATGCTAATAATGACCATATTATGTTTTGGCCAGACTTAGCATCATGCCATTACTCAAGAGATACCCAAAACTGGCTTTGACAACACAACATTCCTTTTGTTCCCAAAAACGATAAACCTCCAAACTTCCTGCACTTTTGGACTTTGCTTTCTAGGAAGGTTTATTATATAACAATTAAGACTGTGAGTTTATGAAAATCTGAGAGAAATTGATCTGAATTCCGTCCAGGACCTCATGAGAGACATTCGAAGAAAGTTGCATCTGATAGGGCAGAATGGGCCGCTCAACATAATTCGGTAGTATAGTTTAGTTAAGTATTAAGTTGTAATTTATGATAACTAGTTAGTGTTTAAATAAATTATAATAATAAATGCGATAAATATTTTGTGCCAAAACTTTTGGGACATACGTGACGTAATTCCCAAGACCACTTAGACGTTTTCACAAACAAGTTGCAATTTCTGAGGAACCCTTAGTACCCACACCCTCATGCTACATGAAGTTATCAGCTTGGGCAGTTGATAGTTGAAGGTTTTCAGTTTTGGAGTATAGTATTAGTAGTATAAAAGAATTTTTGGTATTTTTGGTCTTTGTGCAATCGCATTTCTGGTGCTATTTGCACTATTCTTTGGCCTCTTGATAACATGTTTAACACAGAAACTAATACAAGTCAGTGCATGCGAACAAACAAACGCTCAATCTGTGGATTAACAGGATATTAGATCACACTGTTTGGAAAATTATTTGACAAAAGTGCTAAGCTTCTTGCACTTATTCACCACAACAAAATGTGGCTTAATTCTTTTAGCAAATCTTGTGTTTTGGAGACTTTCAGAAGGTTCTGGGTTATGACCCTTTTAGGAATCAAAGTTTATACTTTTTAGTGTTGTTTAATAGAATTAACTGAATTTTTCCCTTTTTGTGGGTTACGACTGTTCACCACCAAATTGACGATCTGCCGAATCTTCTGGTTGATGTACGAGTGTGACTCGCTAGTACCCAGAGTTGCAGTTAAACTAGGGCGTTACATTATAGTCTGAAATAGCACATAGGCTACTCTTTAGTATACCTTTGAAATGTTTATTTCACGGGCTACTGCTAAACAGCTTAATGGAATTTAACCCATTCTGTATTATTTTTTCTAGAATTTTTGCAAACACTGGTACCAAGCTTATAGGTCTAAAATGTTTAAATTCAGTGGGATATGAGATTTTAGTTCAGGAATAATTAGGGCCAGCTTCCACTGTTTAGGGATCCTTTTTGTTAATAAAAATTTATTATGTAGGTGATATTCAAGAAAGGCATAGAAAGATTGATCATAGTAATACAGTGCAACCTCTTTAATCCGAACACACGTGAATCCGAACCTACGATAATCCGGACGACTAAATTACAAGGTGATAGTCCGAACGCTACCTCGGAAATCCGATCACTGCGGCAGACGGACAGGAAAATTCCAGTTGGCGCTTGACTTGAAATCAAACGGCACTCAGTCATATTCATTGTAGGGTTCGGTTAGTTTGTTTCGCATAGCATTTGTTAATCAACATATTGTTTCGCATATTAAAAAATGTCAAAAAGAAAACACATAACGTTGGATCTAAAACAAAGAGTAGAAGTTTTAAAAGATATAGATGCTGGTGTTAGTTATTCTAATATTATGTCTAAATATGGCAGTAGTTGATATTAAAAAAAAATAAGGAGAAAATTCTGGCATTTCTCCGTGAAAATGATGTTGGTCCTTCCAGTAGAAAAACGTTATAACTCAGTTCAAATCCTAAGATCGAAAGGGCTTTATTTACATGGTTTTGTCAGGAAAGAACAAAAGGTAAGTTCTATTACATTCTATACAGGGTGTTACTTAATAATATGTCATATGCAATTTAAAGGGGGCAAATTTTATCGTAAAAATACCGTTTGAAAGAAATCATTAAAAAAAGCAAAGATACGGAATGGGCAGAACGGGCTTGGACGAACATGTAATATTAATAACACTATTGGACTTTGCTTTCTAGGAAGGTTTATTATATAACAATTAAGACTGTGAGTTTATGAAAATCTGAGAGAAATTGATCTGAATTCCGTCCAGGACCTCATGAGAGACATTCGAAGAAAGTTGCATCTGATAGGGCAGAATGGGCCGCTCAACATAATTCGGTAGTATAGTTTAGTTAAGTATTAAGTTGTAATTTATGATAACTAGTTAGTGTTTAAATAAATTATAATAATAAATGCGATAAATATTTTGTGCCAAAACTTTTGGGACATACGTGACGTAATTCCCAAGACCACTTAGACGTTTTCACAAACAAGTTGCAATTTCTGAGGAACCCTTAGTACCCACACCCTCATGCTACATGAAGTTATCAGCTTGGGCAGTTGATAGTTGAAGGTTTTCAGTTTTGGAGTATAGTATTAGTAGTATAAAAGAATTTTTGGTATTTTTGGTCTTTGTGCAATCGCATTTCTGGTGCTATTTGCACTATTCTTTGGCCTCTTGATAACATGTTTAACACAGAAACTAATACAAGTCAGTGCATGCGAACAAACAAACGCTCAATCTGTGGATTAACAGGATATTAGATCACACTGTTTGGAAAATTATTTGACAAAAGTGCTAAGCTTCTTGCACTTATTCACCACAACAAAATGTGGCTTAATTCTTTTAGCAAATCTTGTGTTTTGGAGACTTTCAGAAGGTTCTGGGTTATGACCCTTTTAGGAATCAAAGTTTATACTTTTTAGTGTTGTTTAATAGAATTAACTGAATTTTTCCCTTTTTGTGGGTTACGACTGTTCACCACCAAATTGACGATCTGCCGAATCTTCTGGTTGATGTACGAGTGTGACTCGCTAGTACCCAGAGTTGCAGTTAAACTAGGGCGTTACATTATAGTC